ACGTTTATTTGGGCTGTGTCGACTGAATATGCATATTGTGCCAAAGTAAGCGTCCATACTTATAAAATTCATACGTACCAGCGTATAAGCGTGCGTATTATTGTATATGGACGGTACAACAAATCACCTTGTATCGTCGTATCATGTTCATCAATTCTTCTCAAGCCGGGTCCACATATGTAGCACTCTATTGTATCAGGATCATGTATCACGTATCAAGAGTATTGGTCGTAAGTATGGACGTTTATTTGGGCTGTGTCGACTGAATATGCATATCGTGCCAAAGTAAACGTCCATACTTATAAAATTCATACGTATCAGCTTACAAGCGTGCGTATCAGTGTATGTGGACGGTACAACAAATCACCTTGTATCGTCGTATCATGTTCATCAATTCTCATTTATATTATCAGGACGGAACCCTCAATGTCCCTTTGATGATCGGAGAAAAACCGCCTCAAGACGGGTCACGGCGTATCAAGTCAATTGGATCGTTCTACTGTATCAAAACACGTCCAAATGACAGATCGTGATACGTGTATCCGATACGCAGTGTTAAGATACGCGCAAAAATTCGGATTGGCATCTATCAGATACGGTATCACAAAGGTGTACCATATGGTCGCGTTAATTCTGCGTCCAAACTAGCGATCATGAAACATGTTGGTGCAACGCGACGGAGATATGATACACGAAGATGCTACATATGTGGACCCGGCTTTATACGATTTCATTTTGATACGGTCTACATTACTCGTAACGATGTTTAACGTGTCTATCGTAGATTTGTCTCTTCTGATCCTTAAGTTACATTTTCCAGTCCTATCCTTTGCACAACGTTTAGCAACTTGGAGACTGAACACCTCCATGTAGCTCCCTGACAATGACCTATCATTACCTATTACCGAGAACCGCACATTTGCCAGGTTGTCGCACCGACATAAAATATGTTCTGTCGTTTCTTCCTCAGATTGGCAGAACCTACACATAGCTTCGTCCGTCAATCCAATTAGCTTGTCTATTCAGCTTACCATGCCCTGTTAGTGGACCCACTACAGCTTTGACTGTCTTTCTGTCCTTGCTTATCAGGCCTACCGTGAATTTGGGCGAATATTATACAATGAACTTTTTCGCCAGTCTCTGCTCTGGTAGTTCTAAGTTCACTAAAACTTTCATAGTCGCTTGTTAAGTACCCGAAGTGATTTTCATTACTTAGAGAACACTTTGTATAAACGCAAGAAACTGTATACTCTAACATAAAGATATTTTTTCACGCTGTCATAAACTCTGTCATGTCCTTTTTTATCACTGAAACCATACCATTCGGCGTCTTCAGACCGAATAAAAGCATCCGATGTACATTATCTCGACTTATTTATTTTTCTCCAGAGTTTCCAGAGATACTTTTGTTCGAACAGAGTCGGTTCGAACGCTGGTGTAAGAATTTGAAGTTTTGATCGACAACGAAACAGTCTCTAAAACTTTCCCAACGTAACGAAGAATGAATATCTTTTTCCTTTTTATATTGATAAAGATAATAAAGTTTATAAAGTTCCAAACAAGAAATTTATGATTGAAAAGGAGAATGAATAACGTTTTTATGGGACTTTTACTTTAAGGCTTGTTTATAAAAGTTTTATTTATTGGATTTATTTTTTTTTCTATTTATGAGTCCTGATTCATCTAAAATTTATATATTCTATTTTTTTCTTTTTTTATAATAATTCAAATAGATAGAAATGTCAGAGTGTCATCTTGAATTACAGAAAAGTTGTATTTTCTGTAATTTTTTGCATGTTGTTTGTCGAAATCTTCCCTAACTCGGTGATAGTGTTTAAAACACAAATAATTAGTGGGTTGGATATTAGACATAGGGTTACCACCTTTTTGCAAAGTAAAAGAAGGATTGGACTATGAAAAAGGACCCGGGGGGGGGGGAGACCTGTTTGATTGGGAACCGCTGATTTATAAATCGCTATTTTAAAATTTTGAAAAGCTCTTTTTAAGGTCAAAATGGTTAACCAACACCTATTAATATTTGTCACAACCTAAACCTGTTAATATTCGGTGTCTAAAGTGTCATTTCAGATTAAATGGCGAGTACTAAATAATGTTGCCGATTCTAAACAATAGTGTACTGTTTTATTAGGATTAAAAATGATATTTTTTGTGGCTTGGTACGTTTGACCAAACCAAACCAAACCAAACCAAACCAAACCAAACGTTCACAAATAATTTTTTAAACAATTTTTAGTTTTGCAAATAAAATAAAAATATTTGAAACTAATACTCTTGGTAATAACCTGAGAGTAATTATATATTGAGAAATTATGGTTACACTTGTTGAATTTCACACGATGTCAGTTTAATAATATATTATGAATATGTTCGTACTTTTGTGCTTAGGCGTAAAAAGGCTTTACTGTTATACCTAAATGTTAAAATTACTTTTTTATATTGCAATCACGTCTCAAAAGTTAATACTTCTGTGAAGTTTGAAAAAAAAACATTTATTTATAAGTTTTATAACATATCTAATTAAATTTGGATGAAAGGAATATTGCTGGTTCCTCTAGATATTTTTTTCAGAATTGAAAATATATAAATAAAAAGAACCTTTTAAGTCATAAAAAGTCAAAAAGACAATTTGTTCCAAAAAAAGGACTGTCTTTTTCAAAAAAGGACAGGTGGCAATCCTAATTAGAATAGAATAGCAGAAAGTATCGTTGCAAAAATATGGTATACAGAATAAAAGAAGACAGATGCAAAACATAGATCTATATGACATTTATTTAACAAAGTTAATCTATTTTTGTTTGTTAGGAAAATTTGTTTAGGAGTAAAAAGGCACTGGCAAACTGGTTGCCATTTCGATTCTAATGGAAACCAGTACAAAGCAGTAAACTAGTAAAAGTAAAAAGGTTTTTTTATTTCTACATTTTTGACCTAACCTTTTTTCCAGAAACGAACCTGCCACAACTGTATAAACATTATTTAAAAAAAACTTAAAAAAGTGTCAAAAATGTATTTTTAAAACAGGTTTTGTTTAATATTAATATAATAAATAAAACTTCTTAAAGAATATATACAACACTTATAGTTATTGTCTAATTTGTACTAAATGTAATTAAGTGAAAATTATATGTATGTATTTATAATCCAGTTTTGGTTAAATATCTCCTTCCAATGTACTAAAATCAACCTACTATATACTAATTTAATTACAAAACTTAATACTAACTGCAATGTTAATATTAACGTCTAAGTCGACCTTAGAGTGATATAGTCTAAGAATTCGACTAAGACTTATCCTGTGGACATGTATCCGAACGTATCCGGTCAGACACAGCTACTTTTACTGCGTTACAGTACAAAAAACTGCGCAATTTTAGTGAATCCTCATCTGAACACGCACTGCATCCTCAAAAGTGTCAGGTGCAGGAAGTCAACGTTTAGTGGGCCTTATATCCTTAAACCACGGCTCTGTCTCTACTTTCCGGAGAGGTGAGAGTTCTTCTTATATTGATATTACTTTCGTTTCCAGAAGTATAAATACACAGTTTCACAATTGGACGGTTTGAAAGTTGAATGTCTGGAAAAAGGAAATATCGCACCTTACCTAAGACGTATGATCACGAACTCTCAGAGAGAAAGCTGAAGATTACTGAGATTTCCGAAATAGACGTGATATGTGGGGTTCCGCAGGTATATGTGCTCGGCCCTCTCCTCTGAAATTTGTACTACGATGTACTTAGACTAGAAATACCAAAGAAAGTAAAATTAGTAGCATATGCCAATGACCTTGCTATCATAGTTAGTGCAAAAACGAAAGGACAAGTGGTAGCAGATGCTAATATTGCATCTGCTAACAAAAAAAAAAAACTTAAAAAAATTAGAACTGGCACTAGAAAAAACGTCGGCTGTATTACTAAACCAGCGGTAGTTTGTATGCAAGAAGGCGTGCATCGACGTTCTGCACATGGATATAGGGACTAAATCTAAAAAAGGTGGAGAGATCAGCTCTGCTACTATCCAGGTTAATACCAAACAAAAATGGACTAACTGAGCAAAAAAAACTCCTTAGTACAACACTAAGGAGTTTTTTAACCTAACCTAACCCACTCAATTTTACTTTAGGCGGTACCTGTCTGGCAGGAAACCTTAAAATGTGAGAAATACAAACAGCTGTGCCAGAAAATTACAAAGGAGGGTTTAGAGAAATTATGCGGAAAGAATTGCATATTCGCATAGCGATGCGTCATAGTGGGTCAAAATCCCACACTACCTGAATCTAACAACGCTTAGGTGCCTTTTGAATATTTTTCAAAAAGAACATTTTGAAGCAAAAAAAATGTATATACTAGACGATGGCTTCCAAATAGAATTGGACTTGTGAATAAATACTAAAATTACTTGAATTTGTGGAAGATAATAAATGTTGTGAAATAAGAAAATTGTGCAAACAAGTTTCCGTAATAGAGGCAGCTATTGGAGTAGCAGAAGATGAATTAAAAAAAACTCCATCAATATCCATATTTTCTCCTTTATATTTTTTTCAAATATCGATAGAAACACCACGAGATACTTAAAAAATCAGAAAATTTGTAAAATACGTTGGCCGCAGTATGGTATGCTGCAAAAACCGGGTATCGTGTGTAAACACAAACGCAACCTTTTTATAAAGTTGCAAATTTAATAGATACCCGCAGTAGAAAATCCGCTTGCAGCATGTTCTTATGGCCTGCGATGCTATACTTGAAATCGTTCGCATTTTGCGTTAGCCCATTCACGTGTATTGTGATATGGCTTTCTCGAAGATACAAGTGATATTTGACGATGCCAGCGGTCAAGAATAGGTACTCTGTATGTGAACACGACACGAAACTTACGAAAATACGGTGCAGTAAAAGCAGCTATGCCTGACCTTATCTTTAAGGTAGCAGAGCTGTATGGAGGCCATATTTAGACAATTATTTCCCATTCATTTATGAATCCTAGTCATAATTAAATAACTATGTTTCAAACTAGAGGGTATTATTTGGATTATTCCTACTAAACTTCATCAATATCCCTTTCTCCAACTTCTAACAGCTGTTCCTTAAGTATTCTGTAATGCCTTTCAGTAATCCTGATCATATGCGCCGCTCCTGAAATTCCTATTGCCGTACCTGCGAGGACATCCCACCAATGATGTCTCCTGTCGGTGATTCTACTTAAAGAACACACCAATCCAAACGATACGCATATACCCAGCATCAAGAGTTTGATTGATGTACCTACAATGTGGCTGGGTAAACGTCTTTGAACGACATACTAAAATATAAAAAAACATACGATGAAAAATTAAACTTTCCACAAGCTTTGGTTAAAGTATTATTATTTTATTCGGTAAGATTGACGACATGATTTGTAAAAAAAGTACAATCACAAAAAGCTTAAGGTGCGTCTAGACCTAACGACACGAAAGCGAGACATGTTCTATCCATTTTTTGAGGCAAACCTGCCACGAAATAGGCGAGTTGGATTATAGTGAAAGGAACCCAAACACATATTAAATTGTAATTGAATTTAACAAACGATGGCCAAATGGTATTTGCTTCGTCGTATTTTATTCATGGTCGTTTTTTTTTTCCTTTTGGTTGTTTTCCCCTTTAACCCTTCATTTGTTTCGAGACACGACGGCTTTTACAAAATACGTTTTTTAGAACAAAATATTAAATAGAAAATTTATAGGAAAGGTTCAGAAGCACATATTGAAATTACTGTACAGTATACAGGGTACTTTACAAAAGTGTTGCGGATATAAAATATATTTTTTAATAGAAATACCCTATTTTTTATTTTATTATTAGATACTACGTACAATTCGGTAACTTTTTTTGCATAATAATATGATATTATAAAGGGTGAACTTTAAATAAGTGCAAACATTTTCAGGGCTGATAGATCTCGATAAAAGAAACATATTCTCTCTTTACCGTTTTTCAAATAAGTCCAAAATAACCGAGTTATTTTACTTTGAAAATTTTCAAAAAAAAGTTTTTTGCTTATATTTTGTGAACCATCGGATCTTTTCTGGGTTTTCTTTCTAGTAAATTTAATCTACTAACTACCTATATTGTCATATTAGAAAAAATTCCAAATTTTAAATCTTTTTTCGCGAAAAAACCTCATAATCGTGTTTTTCCAAATCGATCGAAATATACTACCGATCTTTCTCGATCGAAATATACTACCCCTAAAATATTTGCACTTACTTAAGTCTCACTCTGTATATCAAAAATCAATAGATTTTGTAATAATTCAATTTGTTTAAAGATTTCGGTACTGTAAAAATTATCAGTGACGCAAAATTTGTAAATTCTATCAGAAGCTAGAATCGAGCGAGCCTATCAAAAACACGTCCAGACTGTGTCGCGAGCTTCCTTTGAACGGCCGCGGCCGTTGCAATACCGACAGAGGACTGATAGCAACGAGGCTCCGTGCGTTGTTGACCCGTCCACATTTACCAAATTTGGAATGTCTCGCGCTCGTCTCGCTCTCGTCTCGTCAGATCTGGACGCACCTTAATTTATTTGGGTTTATCCAAAATCTAATCTAAGATGGATATCTTCTGATGCAATACAGATACTTACTGCACAGAAAATAGCGGTAAACCAACTCAATGCAGAGTGACCGCTGGGAAACGATCTAGATGAGTCGATCAAATCTATTCGGTCTACCAACGTGTTGGTGCAGGTAAATGAGGAAATATAGCTACCTGGGGTACAGTTTACATTAGTATCGGGCCTGCAGGTGTCGAAGAAATGCGGCCTGTGTTCACCCACTATAGTTTTAGCTGAAACACAAGTTTCCTCATCAATTTTGACATATTTTAGTATATTATTAGTTGCGTAATGATGGTTACACCATTTGACTGTATTAATATCTACCGGGTGGTAACATGAAATTCCATGCAAATTTTGAATTCTCCAAATATTTGCTCCTCTATTGATTCTATAGCCAGTCGTAAATATATTTTTATTGGCGTGCGAATGGTAAATACACATGCGAAATTTGAACAGTTTTGAACAAGCCGGTTTTAACTGCATCTATTTCTTAATTAAAATTGAAAATCAGATAAAGGCCAACATGCCTTAAGTTGTCAAGCTCTTTTTTTTTTCATTACAAAATGTAAGTTTAAACTATTTATTTTAATATCTAATACTACATAGAAATTATTTATTGTAATTATCATTAGCTACTAAGGTGCCCGGTGGCGTACCTACTACAGTTCTCGTCTACCAATCTAATGGTTGTGGGTTCGAATCCCACAGCCGGCATTTCATCAGCCGACTATTTTTAATAAAATAAAAATAGTTTAGGTTCCTAGCTCGATTCAGCCTTAAATTAGTACGTGGGATTCACAATCCTGAGGTAATAATAATAGGCGGTTGTAGCGTAGTGCTAGCCACATTACCTTCTTTGTATACCGAACGGCTCTAGCATGGCAAGCTGTACCTTGCTACTTCCAAGGCGTTAAACGCTATATACGGGAGAAAAAAGTCACCATGATAAAAACTGCTATGTGAGAAATATCTTAGGCAAAGTATCTGATATGTTTTCCGTTGATCTCTAAATTTGAAGTAAAAGCATGGTTAATAAATAACTAGAAACTACAGCAGACCATCACCAAAGCCATCACGGAGAAGACTGAAGAAAATAATGATGTTAGAGTTGTGATAATTTACTTGTGGAAGAAAATAAGAATATTAATATCAGATATAAGTGGCGGAGAAACTGTAAAGGTGCGTTCGGGCGCGTAAATCATTTTTTTAACACATAGTTTTGTGCGCGATAAAAAATACACTTCAAGTACATGTTAAAAAACTGTTGTCTAAGAACTTTTAAGAAAAAAAATATCATTTATTTAAATACAAAGTTCATCAAGAAATGCTAGAAGGGGATGATGTACGCAGTAGTACGCTAATATTTTTCCTGATCATTCCAGTTATTTTTATGTCTCCTTTCGCCTTAAACCTATCAATAAATTTTTGTATTGCCGACCTGGTAGAAATTGGATTATCAGGAAAATTAATCAAAAACATATCCGATACATTACTTAAGCTATTTCTCTCGTAGGACTATTTAAATCCTATAATAATAATAGAGGTATACAGGGTGAGTTTCCTACGATGTTCTCTATAGGTATCTCGGAAACTACTGGAGATAGAGAGTCGGTTAAATGAGGAAAGAATTGCAGTTTTGTAGGGTCATAAACATGCGCCTTTCAGATTTTTGAAAAAGTTCATGGGTTACTAGATATTTCGAAAAAAACAAATTTCGCCTATTTTAAAAATTGTCCATAAGTCCCTTATAATCCATTTTAGACAAAAAGTTTTCGGATGAAAGTTCTAAAGCCTGTCATTTTTGACATATCACACAAACATGTCTTTTTTTAAATGGAAACCATAGTTGGCCATGATTTCATAAAAAGCGCAATTTTTTAAGCTTTTCCGTGATATAGCTATAACATGTTTCTTTCCAAAAATTACTGAGGTATAGCCAATTCTTATCATTTTTAAACAATTTCAGTTAGCCATTTTTTAGTTAGCGATGAAAACAAGTTCAATTGTCGTTACTCTCAGTAATGTGAAACTGTCACATTCAAACTTTATAAATTAAAGCAAACAAAAATTCTAAATATTATGAATTTTTCAAATGAAGAATAGCGTGTAGATTGGTTCAACTTTTTTTTAATATACATTTACGAGGATACGTTGACCGGTGAACGTTACTTACGTTTTTTAGAAAAGTTAAATTTAGATACTCGCGCATCAATAGAGTGGTTCCAACATGACTTTTATTATGACACTTCCCCTCATAATAAAAAAATTGTTAAAAATTATTTATATCATAAGTATTCAAACTCAGGGATAGGAAAAGGTGGACCAATTGCATGGGCCTCCTCGATTACCTGACCTATCTATTTTAGATTTTTTTTATGCGGTATGGTTACCAACAAGGTTTACAAAAGAACTTATGAAGAGGTGGTACGGGAGAAGTTTATGAAAGTCGACCGACCGTTCTGTGGGAAAAGCTTGTAATTCAGTTTTAAAAAAATGCATTTTATGTACTCAAAACAATGGCGGTTTTTCGAACATTTGCTAAAATAACTTTAAGTGTATGTAGTATCAGACCATACCTTTTTTTATTTCTTTTACAACTGATTTTATTTAAAAAAAAAATTGTAAATATTTGATAGAAATCAAAATACGGATTGCGTTGGTTTCACTCTTTTTGGTCAGGTTAGATTGATTATTTGGTGGAGTTAGTTGCGTTGGTTAAGATGGTTATTTGGTGGGGTTGATTGCATTGGTTAGATTAGCTATTTGGTGGGGTTAGTTTGGTTTTGGTTGGAATGCTCTATAACGAAGCGTTAATAGTAATATCTAAAATATACTCTTTCTGATGCTACTAGATACATTCCGTAAGTGCATATATATATACATTCCGTAACTGTCTTATATTCCATACTCGCGTATCGCACTCGGAGTTTAATTGATTTAAAACTCAAATCTGACCAATGGGATTGTGCTAGGTGCCGTATACATGTATGGAATGTATAAATGCCTACCGGGCTTATAGCGTCCTCATATGGGTCGTCCGGCTTTCGAAGCGGAAACGTTTCGAATCTCGCTCCACTCTACCTTCGTAGGTAAATAATAGTATCAATCATCTTATAGACGGAGAGCTGGTTACATAAAAAAAACCTTATCACCGTTACATGGCTTCATGTGAAGTATTCTTTTATGTAGCCATGACTATTTGTCAGGTCTGCCAGCATGATCCCGGGGCTTAAAGCGGGGGCGGCCAATCGAAAGGGTGAAATTTTGACACTAAACATATTATAAGGTACACGAGTTATAATTGCGAAAATAGCTTTTATTTATTATTAAGAAACGTGGAAAATTGTTGGTAGACATTTTTCTCGTGGCTAAAATGCATGTTTATTTATTTAAAAAGCCGTATGCAAAAGGGCAGACAATGCAAAATCGTGGCTCAGTCAGCGGTAGACAGTTATCAAAAGCCCAATATTACTCTACATGGTGAGTCTTAAATAAGTGTAAATATTTTTAGAGCTGGTAGATCTCGATAAAAAAAACGTATTTTCTCTTTACCGTTTTTCAAATAAGTCCAAAATATCCAAGTTATTCCAGTTTGAAAATTTAAAAAGAAATCGATTTATTTTTAAATAATTTTGCGAGCCACTTGTTTTTTTCTGTATTTGCATCCATGCTTTTAGTGTCGTAACCATAGATATCATAGTTAGCCTGGGCCAAGATGTCAAGAAAAAAAAATATAAACTTTGAGTGCTTTATTTTTTAAATACCGATACCACTGGCTTCAAAAAAATATAAAAATTAAAATCGCCGACGTACAATTGGGGTCTCTACACAAATTTAAAAAAAAACTTTTTCAACCAAAGTAAAAAGCGCGTAAAAAGTTTTGTTAATAATAAATAACGACCATCATCAGCAAAAGTCATGCTTACTGTTGCCCCCTTCCCTGTTTCTAAATCCAGGAGGTTGGGTCTCTGTACAAATTTAAATAAAAATAGACTTTAATCTAATGGAAAAAGCAAAAACATATTTTTTTTCTAATATTTTGGTGATAAAATTTTACTTTATGATCATAAGTATTAGTAAACAAGTAAAACTCCAAACTAGCAATTAAACACAAACTGAATTTAGACTAAAAAGGAAGAAAACAATTAGCTACTAGCTATAAGTCAATAAATACATTTTAAACATGGTTACTGTAGTAGGAAGCAACACTCCTAAGGAGATTTTTTGATAGTTTTTTTATCTTGGATTTAAATTAAAGTTTTTTGAGAAAAACTTAAAAGAATGATGCACCTGCTCTGAGGTTTACTCAGAGTAAAAAAAAGTAAAAAAAAAAGCCCAATGCTTTCTGTGAAATACTAACAAAATCCACTATATGGTGAACAACAGCGTGAATTTTTGGAGTAAAACTGATTTCGTATCTCTTATTTTGTCGGAAAATTTTAGTATATAGGCTTCGTAATTGGTATCAATATATTTTCCAAAACAGCTGGCTACCACATCATTGAAGGCACAAAATACCTCTATGTATTTGTTGTCTAAAAAAAATAAGCAAAAGGCTTAGTGTCCAAATAACAATAATAAAATAAAGTTTTGTTACAAAGTAAGTTAATTACAGTCATACAAGGATCTAGTGCTTTAAGTCAACTTTTTTAAGCAAGTTTCTGACATTATTTCCATTAAATCTGCTGTAATGGTCTAATTGTATCCCAGAACTTCTTAGCCAGCTTTCAGCAATTTTTATAAATGTTTTTAATTTTTGCTCAGACCTAGGTCTACCAACAACAGCTTTTGTTATTGGATACACTGGTGATCGCGTATTGTTTACTTTAGTTCTGGGATTAGGCCTAAACCTGGCAACTTCACATATTTTACAGCTACATAAATTCTCCTTTCGTTGTGTTCTGACCTTAAATTTTTTGTAGTCTTTTTTTAAAAAATAAAATAAATAATTTAATTTTTCAAAAAAAAGGGGGCAACAGGTTACGTTTAGGTGATAATGGTCCTTGAATATTCTTAACAAAACTTGTGCGCAGCTTTTAATATTGATTAAAAAAGTGTATTTTTTGAAATTTGTGTAGAAACCCCAATTGTACGTCGGCGATTTTCATTTTAATATTTTTTTAAACCAGAGGTATGAGCATTTAAAAAATATAACACTCAAACTTTATATATTTTTTTTCTTGACATCTTGGCCCAGGCTAACTGTGGACATATAAAGCCGTAAGCATGGTAGGCTAAGAAATAATTATGCCGTGGATGAATTGTGGTGAACAGGCAGTTCTAAAAAGTTTTCTAAAATATACAGGAAAATTTAAAAAAATACACGATTTTTTTGCGAAAAAAACCCTCATAGACGTGTTCCTGGGGTCGAAATATATCACCCCTAAAAGTATTTGCACTTATTTAAGACGCACCCTGTATAACCGTTTTTCGGAAGCGCTCGCCGCGTTATCAATTGGAACATAATACGCCAAAAAATTGGAACATAACTCGCCAAAAATTTTACGGTAAGAGGAAGACTCGTTTGCGAGAGCAAGGATCTGCAGTACGATGAGTCATGTACAAATAGTGAGACAGAATAATTAATGTATCATATCTGTTACTGAATTCATAAAAACAATATATTTATAATATAATCGTATACATGATTTATCTATATTGATTTAGCCACGATCTTTGTGTCTGCCCTTTTGTTTACGGCCTAAAATAAATAAATGACATTCCACCAATCGGCATGCATATAACCCCGTGGAAATAACAAAAACAAGCAATTTTTAAAATGCCAGGCAACTGCGACCGTGGGAAATAGTCGCGAAAAACAGATCTATGACTGATTGCAAACTAGTCCAGTTTGAATCGATTCGTGTTCGGCTTCACATTACTACCGAGGTTGCAAAAACAGTTGAAAGCTAAACTGACTTGCAACTTTTGTATTAAAACTGTCGCACCGTTGGCGCTGGTTAAGAGAATCACATTTTCGCGCCAAGTTGTACAACTTTGGTTGTACAACTTTGTTTTTTTTTTCGTTTGGTTTGGACTTTAGATTAAGAGTAAGTTTGGACTGGGTTTTAGTTCCGGATCGATCATTTCGGGGTAGTTGTCATGGGGCCACTTTGGGCAGACCGGCAGCCGATATAGATACAGTTTGTCTGCAGGATCTGTGTCTATGAAAGGAATGCGGACAAAAAACATTTAAATAAACGGCAATATATTTTATACGTCGACTTGACGAGTACGTCACCGCAAATCGCTCCGTCCACTCATTTTATTGGCTACTTGCAAATTTGTCGAATTTTTATTGATGGGACGCGTCGTCTAATTTTTTACGAAAAACATCGAGAGAATATCGTTTCCCCTGTCACGGATACCCCGTAGCCACAGAACGGACAGACGTACTGTAATTGGGATTTGGGATGGCAAAGTAAATCAATTAAGAATATGTAGAATAGATTAATAAACAAGATAAAGAATAAACAGATTTAAAGAAGTGTTTCTAGGACAAGACACTAAAAACATCAGACTATCAAATATATTTTTCCAAGGCTCCTTGAATAGAAAATTAGAATTTTTATCATAGCCATGGCACCCTAGACTGAAATTTAAAATACAATTTTGTTTTAAGCGAAAATGTCAAAAGTTGACATATATATGTCATTTTATTCAGAATGTCATTTCCTATCGAATAAAGTAAAAAAAAATACCGAGGGTGCTATTTAAAAATCGAAACTTGTAGTCATTTCCTGTAAAACAGGATGTGGTCGAAAAGAATTGGATACGTCAACCACTCCTAATTTATGTCATTTACTAACATTCCAAATCTCGTTTTTTATCTAAAAAATAAAAGAAATATAGGGGTGAGCCACTTTTGAGACGCGCCCGGTATACAGGGTGTCCCAATATTCCGTAGACATAGAACTACTACGTATTTTTGGAATTTAATTTTTTTTTTTTTAGTTTTTTTAAGTTCATTGAACACAATTTACCTCTATACAAAACTGCTTCGTTTATCCGCTAGAGGGTATCAAACTTTAAAAAAATATACATATTTTTTCAGATATTTTAAGGACAATTATTTGGATTTGAATGAAATTTTGGGTGCTTATGTTTTGCTAAGTGCACTAACATTTGACTCTCACAAAATTCAAGAAAAAGTACGGGAAGGGTAAAAACTACCCCCACCCCTACATAAATTTTGGTATAAATATTTTCTAATTCCACCGACGCGACGGCCGATTTTCTTTGTGTAAAATGGTCCCTCTAGTATTTACTACATTTTTGTCTCCTGTAAATAATCGCCACCGTCATACTTTTTGAGGAAAAAAAATTCCAAAGCCGACTTCCAAAAAATGTTTTTTGTCACGTTAAATTAAGGAATAATTTTTTTTATGTTAGTATCCCACATTATATTTGACGATAAGCTTCATAAAAAGCTTAAAAAATTAATAATTTTTAAATTAATTGTCGTTCGGATGTAACATTGATTGATGCTCTCTAACGGACAAACTAAGCACTTTTGTATAAAGGTAAATTATATGTGCAATTAAAATTAACTTATTTTGTCCAAAAAATACGTAGTTGTTCTATGTCCACGAAATATTGGAAATCCTTGTATATTTTGTAGGTCCGCTTTGGAAAAATAAATTCTTCAAAAATTTTCATCACAAAAACTATGCGATGGCGATGTGGCGATTTTTTACAAAAGACAAAAAAATGTAGTAAATACTAAACGGAAAACGGACCATTTTACGAAATGAAAATCTGTTGTCGATAGAGAGTAGCTCTCTCGTATTTTTTTTTAGATTTTTGTGAACGCCAAATGTTAAAGTACTTAGCAAAACATGATACCCAAAACCTCATTCAAATCGGAATAACGGTTCTTAATATATTAGAAAAAATGTGTTTATTTTTTTAAAGTTTGATGCGCTCTAGCGGACAAATGAAGCACTTTTGTATAGAGGTAAATTGTGTCCAATGAACTTATTTTAATTCCAAAAATACATAGTAGTTCTATGTCCATGAAATATTGGGACACCTTGTATTTACCATATGCAGAATTTTCAAAAATCTATTTATGACTTCCCTATAAAATTAAAAGAGGAGCTAATATTTGGACAGTTCAAAACTTACATTGGATTTCCTGTTTCCAACGACGATACGCTACCGGGTATATTATATTACTGACCTATTTCTGCAACTATACCAACTCCAAGAACTCCAATTATAAACTGTTTAGCGAAGAGGTAAAAATGAAAAAAACATTTTAAACTGATACACTTTCTCATTGATCCCTGTCTCAATCTTTCTACGCTGAACCAGACCAGAACAGGTAACAAAGCCACTCCTAGACCTAGTGTTGTGGCTGAAATTGTGTCTCCTTCATATTTATGTGAAAAAATGGGATCTTGGCAGAAAAATCCCAGTTTGTTGCCTGGTATGACGCCGAAGTTCCATAAAAGGAACACTATTAAAGCTATTAACAAAAAGAAATTGACGTTAAAAGTTTTATACGTCTAAAAAGTTTTATAATTAAAATAGGATTTAAAGTTTCATATTTTAAATAAGAAGGATATATAAAAATAAAAGTGGTAAAACTTAACTAACTATACAGGGTGGCGCCTCTCATACGCCGCGGAGGCTTCAAGGAGAACAACAGTTTGTATTGCCATAAAATTTGGTAAGCAGATGTAGGTTATTTCAGAGCGCTTTTTAAAAATATGGAGAGTTCTATAGGGGTTCCCCAAAAATAGTTACATATTAAAGTTGTGTTTTTGTAATGAAACACCCTATATATTAATTGATTTTCGAATTCTGGGAGAAAAATAAAGGTGAGTTTTATAAGAGAAGTATATGATCCAAAAAATTATACAGGATAAGACAAAATTAATATTGAACATTGGTCATCTTTAAAAGCATGTTACTCTTTTATTCTAAATGGAACAGCCAGTATATTATTACGATTTTCAATGGAGAATTCATGTCTCATTTAAATACTATTAAGGTTGCCTACCCCTCAAACAAAAATTTTCCGAGATATTTTCATTTACATGATTTGATCTGAATAGATCTTTATTATTTAATAAAATCTAGGTGGCTGTGATATGTCTGACGTTACTTCAACAGAGCTGTCTAATTAGTCCAACTTTAACAACTAGTTATCATTTTGTGTCAGTTAAAACACAAAAAAAAATTCTCAGAAATTTGCCGAAACTGCAAACTTATCCTACATTAGAGAGATTTGATATGATTCTATTAGTTGGTGAATGCAGTGTGCATTCAAAAATTAATAGAATACTTAAATGTTCCTGATTTTATCTAGTCTGGTTTTTTTTATGGGGATATGTTAAAGACAGTGTTTACAAAACTCGACCAACTATTGTCGACAACATGAGAGAAATTATTGTAGCTGTTTTTCTCCATATATGCCTTTTAAAATGAAAAGATCCTTTTGAAAAGATAATCATTTTATGCAGTTAACAAGAAAGGAAGCATTTTGAGTATTTGATTTCATCTAGCTAATTTTTGTCACATAATTATAGGTTTATATCTAATTTTAATTCTGTAATAATTAAAATATGTTTTAAACGTGTATCTTTTTATTACCGTTGAGTATTTTACTCTATACTCTGTTTTTTTTCTCAGGTAAGATTTCGACAGACCATGACAGAAAAAAAGCAGATGACTTCCATACCAATCCATTTATTTCACTAAAAAAGTTTCTAATATTTTTTAAGTTAACTATGGATAGGTTTATAAATAAATACGTCATGCGTCGTTTCTTGTTATTTTTAACCAGTTTTATTGGTTTATTTCAAAATTGACAGATCATATTTCAATATTATTGGTTTGACGCAACGATGAACGACAAACGGACGTCTATGCGTATGAACTCGACTTAATATTTTTGAGAGTTGTCAAAATCTTGCCAAATTATCATTTTGTACCAAGTATCATTTTGTGCCAAATTATGTCAAATAGAAATGATAAATATTTTGCATTTTGCATTTTGGACTGTGTTGTTATTTGTGTTTCGTGTTTTTTTAAATTTATGTGGAGGAAAACTCGAGGGAAAATTAAGTGTTGACCCAGAACATAGTTTACAGTTAATATTCGGTGCACAGAGACCGCCAGAGACACAGTTTGCCAGAGACTATGGCCAGAGTGTTGTTGTATTAGCCACAAATAAAGTTGTATACCATCTCGTATGTGGTAGCAAAAACGGGAGTATCTGTAAAATAATATCACACGATAGGTAAATAATACATTTTAGTACTGCAGAAAAAAATAAGATCAAGTTAATTAACCAAGATTAGATTTTTTCAATTTCATACAGTTTTTTCTCACATTATTTTGAAGTAATCACTTGTCACTCAAAATTTAAATATTATTAATTATGCGTTCCAATCGTACCAACTTATTTCTTTGTAAAATAAAATAAACTACTTTGAAATTAAATGACAGACAAATCTATCACTGTCAAGGATCTTGTCGTTGGACAGACTATACAATCTTTAATTTTTGTTATTTCTTTTGTTTAAATCTGTTTAAATCTAGGGTGGCTGTGTGATACACTAGAGTTTTTCAAATAATAAAGATTTACTGACGCAAAATCATAAAAATTAAAATATCTAGGAAAATCTTTGTCTGAGGGCTAGGCAACCTTAATAACATTTTGAAGATATATAAATTCCCCATTGAACACCGGAAAAATATACTGCGTGTTCTATTTAAAATAAAGGAGTAATTTGCTTTTAAAAGTGACTAATGTTCCATATTCATTTTGTCTCACTCTGTATAACTTTTCGGGTCAAATTTCAATTTGGTTTAACATACAATGGTTACTGTAATTAAATATCAGGCTATACAAGGCCAACTAAAATTTAGGTAGCTATTATCGAAACTTAAAATGTTCTCTTCATTTTCACAAAATATGAAATATGTCAAAATCTTTAGATTTTCAATCAAGAAAATCAATTAATATATAGGGTGTTCCATTAGAAACACTACTTTGATGTGTAACTTTTTTTGGGGACACCCTGTATAATTCTATATATTTTTATAAAATGCTTTCAGTTAACCTACATATGCTGCCAAAATTTTATTTCGATATAAACTACCGTTCTCCTTGGAGCTTCCGCGGCGTATGAGAGGCGCCACCCTGTATAAATAATCTAAACTTCCTAAATAAGAGTTTGTTAACTATAAAGTTGGTCCTGTAAGAGACTATACACCTAAATAATAACAGAAAATACAATCTACTTTTAAATTATAATGACTGAAAATAGTGTTGTCACTCTGAAGAACTAGACTGTATTTCGTTTTTCATAGCTTGGCAATAACCAAGCTATGAAACCCTAGTTTTTTGTTCCGCTTCAATGTTTAGCCTGAAATTTTTATTATTACAGAACACGATCCGTAAAAAATATCTGACATTAGTGTCATCACCAAAAAACTTATAGGGATATTGAAATTTAAAAATCGTTTGACATTTTTACTATGTTGTCAAACTGTTCGTTATTTTTATAGATATTTCAAGAACTGATCTTTGCCATAATTTGCTAACATAGTTTCAGAACGGAATACAGCTATAGATATTACATAGTAAAATTTAAACTAAAATGTTCATTCTTGGCCTACTTTGTTTTTTGATTCTCACATCTTATTTACATATACACATTTACATTTTATTTAGTTGCTAATTTTGTCACTCTTGGTCATCATCAATCAAGTGCATATACAGGGTGGTCCGAACTGTATTCCGGAGACTTCGACAGTATATTCTACAGATAAAGATAAGTAAAAAAGTTCGTATAAGTAAAAAAAAAATATCTCCTAAGATCCTTAGTTTCGGAGATACAGGGTGTAGAAGTTTCATTTTGTTTAGTTCGATTTTTTTCAAATAATTTATGAAGTTAGGTCAATATTTGGATGAAAATTGGTGCCTGAGAGTTTTTTGACATGAGAAATTTGATTTTGATGTTAGTATGGCTCCAACTTGTAGGGGGCGCCACCTACATATTTTTTTTACTTGTTTGAAGAGTAGGTAATAACTTTTCGTCAGTACCTGTATAAAATTACTGAGTAGTAAAAAAATGTACATTTGCGACGTATTTTACTTAAAAGAAGTCTCTTGGTAAAAATCGCTACGAGTAATGGTTCTCGAGATATTTGGAATCGAAATTATCAATATCTGTCATCATAGTCAATACGTTGACTAAAGAGTTATTAGACTGAAATCATAAATTTGAAACGTTTTTGTGCCAAGGTCATCACAAACTGTTTTATCATAATTTTTTTACAGAAAAATTTATGATTAATTTAAGAAAATAAAAATTTCCCAAAATGTATTATTTCAGTCAAATAACTGACTATTTCCATTCTAAATATTTTGAGAACAGTCGCTCACTGGGTTTTCAGCAGAACACGGGGTTTTTACCAAGAAACATTTTTTACGTAAAAAGTCATGGAAATATTGGAAATGTATATTTTTTCAGTCAGTAGTTCAAAGGAGGGCGCGCACTGCATCGGATCGGACCGACCAGCAAAAGCGACTGCGACCATCGTACATATAGACGGCGCCGGCGTCCACTAAAACATTTCGGCCTGTAGAGGCCAGATTCCTACCTCTACCTATCTACGATAGTCGAGTCACCGTCTTCGCTGTTTCTCGCCGGACTGGTACCGATTCAGTGCGCGTACACCTTAAAGGAGGGCGCGCACTGCATCGGATCGGACCGACCAGCAAAAGCGACTGCGACCATCGTACATATCAAATACGTTTAAATAAAATATACGACGGCCTCCCCATAAGAGCAATGAGAGGATTTACGTCCCAGTATTGAAGGAGGACAGAAAATCGAGTCGAATGGTTTCAAGACATAGGTTCATCCTTGTTTAGTCAAACCTCCTATAAACCAAGGATAGACTTATGTAGGAAATGCATTGAAATTCTATAGCCATCCTTCAATATCGGGACAGGAATTTAAGCGGTACCCTCCGTCCACTAAAACATTTCGGCCTGTAGAGGCCAGATTCCTACCTCTACCTATCTACGATAGTCGAGTCACCGCCTTCGCCGTTTCTCGCCGGACTGGTACCGATTCAGTACGCGTACACCTTTATACAGGTACGGATGAAAAGTTATTTTTCTTCAAAACAGTTGAAACACATGTAGGTAGTGCCCCCTACAAATAGGAGTCATACTGACATCAAAATAAAATTTTTCATATCATAAAACTCTAAAGACACCAATTTTCATCCAAATATTGACGGTATTTTAGAAATTTTCTCCGAAACTAAGCATTTTAGGACATACACTTATACGAACTTTTTTACTTATTGTTATCTGCAGAATATGCTGTCGAAGTTTTCGGAATACAGTTCCGACCACCCTGTATAATAAAATTAATTAACATATAAGGCTAAATTTGTAAACAATAGTATTTAGTCCTATCATCTGCTGATGATGTTAATATAGTGAGCATCTAATCGCGCGTTCTTGTTCTAAAATGAAAATGTGTTAGTCTTTAAAATAAGTGCAAATATTTTTAGGGGTAGTATATTTCGACCCCCGAATCACGTCTATGAGGTTTTTTTCGCGAAATAAAAAAAAATGAAATGCAGGAATTTTTTGAAAATTCTTTTAATTTTTTTTAAATTTTAGTTAAAAAATATAATGTTTATATAATATGGCAACATAGATAGTAGATTAAATTTACAAGAAAGAAACCCCAGAACAGATTCAGTGGTTCTCAAAATTTAAGCGAAAAATCATTTTTTTTTCTAAAATTTTATTTTCAGTGTAAAATATCTCGGACATTTGGATTTTTTTGAAAAACAGTAAAGAGAAAATATGTTTTCTTTTATCGAGATCTACCAGTCCTGTCAAAATATTTGCATTTATTTAAGACTCACCCTGTATTGTGACAAATGTTTTATTTTTTTGGTGTTGTATTTTCCACATTTTATGTCTACATATACAGGGTCCGGTAATAATGTCTCGGGCATCTGTAGCTCCTAGACAAAGAGATATTTTTTACGTAAAAAATCATGGAAATGTATATTTTTTCATCCAGTACTTTTATACAGGTGCGGACGAAAAGTAATTACTCTTCAACAGTTAAAACACATGCAGGTGGCGCCCTCTACAAATAGGAGTCATATTGAGATCAAAATCAAATTGCTCATGTCAAAAAACTCCCAGACAACAATTTTCATCTAAATATTGACGTTACTTCAGAAATTATTTGGAAAAAATCGAAATAAAAATGAAACTTCTACACCCTGTATCTCCGAAACTAAGCATTTTAGGACATACATTTATACGAACTTATTTACTTATTTTTATCTGCAGAATATGCCGCCGAAGTTTCCGGAATACAATTTTTTTTAATATTCAATCATTTCATTCATTCCATCAATATTCATTTTAAAAATAAAAACAAAGATTTTTTGGGTAATGGTTGGTTATGTTACTTTTATTCTGTTATCTATGGTTACTTTTCATTTTTTAGATTTATGCGTCATTAGCGCCACTGTGGTTATTTGGTGAACCCTTATTCTTCCTATTTTTGTGACTTTTGACACTTTTTCAAATAAAGTCAAAATCAAGAGATATTTCTCCTCATTTCTACACTCCATAGTCTGCATTTAAACAAAATTCCCAAATTTTTTATACAAGGATCTACATATATGCTCGACGCACTATTGCCGGAATGCCGCACCCTGTATGATGTCAGGCCCTGTTAATAAAAATCAGGACTTTAATTCTAAATAATAATAATTATACTAACCTAAAATAAACAGTATGACATTCCAATAGTATTTAGCTGGATAAGGTGGTTTAATAAGGGCATTCTTAATAGATTCTTTGCTAATTCTGCCATTTTCGTCCAAAAATCTAAAGTAAACTACGTCTGGTAGGTCTTCGTCTTTCACAGAAACTGACGCCATCTAGTTCAAGTAGTTATGGTCCTTCATCAAGAGATTTTAAGTCTAAAATATTAGGATAGTCTATTTATTGTTAAATATTTTATTGTACATCTAGGTAGATACAGTATTTTTTTAGTATAGGTTATAGCAATAAAAATAAAGAAAGTATATGTTTTTATGTAAAAAGTAATTTATAAAATTGAGGCGTGTTTAGCAAGAACCGCATAACGTCCAGAAACTAAAAAAATCGGGAGATATAAAAAATACCCTAGATTGTTATGGGGCGTATTTTTTGAAAAGCGAATTTTACTAGTTATTGTAATTTATGCAGACAAACATATTTTTTGTAATATTTAAATTCATTTTTATTTACCATTTTCGTAAAAAAACAAAAAAATAAAAAAAAATAAAATTTAAAATTAAATGGTATGTTATATTAAATAACAATAATTACTTAAATACTTATTCATTGCAGCCACTACTGTTGTCATCTTGTTCGATATCATCTCTTTCTTCCAGTGTATAAGAGAGGGACCCGTCAAAAATCTTTTCATAATATGTTTTATTTTTATGTAAGCGAAGTAGTGGTAACAAAGATCTTAAATATTTAACCTTTTTAGATAGAATAGGAATTTGACCATTATATAGAGGAGTAAGAGTCACTAGAGAAGGGAGATTTGCTTTTGCCACTTTGCTGGTACGGAAAGGTCCACTATACCTGTCTCTTAAAAAAAGCAAACCTGGAGTTTCTTTGTTTATTTTTATTACCAGGACGTTCTTAATGTTAATGGCAGGTTTCCGAGTTTTAAAGAAGAATTCCGATGTGGCGCTTTTAATTTAATAAAAATCTTGACTCATTTTTTGCAAATGAAATGGATTTGGATTCTGCCTAGCTTTACAGATAACCTTATCCCATTCACTAGGAAGCTCTACTCTTTCCAAACGTTTCTTTTTTTTCTCAATGAGGGCGAAATCAATTTTTCAAATTCAAATATGAATATCCGCGCATGGGAAAAATATTCTCAACGGAACCAGCCATTTTTAATACATGAACTAATGTATATAGGAAATGAACCTGAATGGACTGAAAATGAAAGTAAAGCTTTGCTTTTTTTGAAGAAATTTAGTACATGAATTAATGAATATCATTTCTGCATCTTTTGGCACCATAAACTCATTTTCGGTAAATTTGGACTTATGCGGTTTTTGCTCTAAACAGGCCTCAATTGTTTACTACTAAACTGTCATGCATCTGTGATAGAATCCTTGGATATATTGGAGAGCAAGTGGTGATATAATTATGTTTTTTTACGTATTTCGTATGTGAAATGAATTTCATTTTTGTTAAGTTTCTTTAATATTTTTTAAGATTTTTGACCAAATATTGGAAAAAAATCCACATAGACTTTCAAAACGTTTTAAATCTCAAGGATGAAATAATTAAATACTTAAATGAGTAGATATGGTCTTCGAAAATGCGTGGTCTTGATTTTAATGTGTAAGACAGTGATGTAGACAGCTTAAGTGAAAAATCAAATGTATTAAAAAGTGATAAAAGTTAGGTTGATACATTTCTATGCGGTATTGCCGGAGTTTGCATGAGAATTTCAAACCGTACAGGTAGGAGTTTACAAAAAATGTTGCATCTAGGGTTGGAGTTTTGTTTTTCACAATTAGTTACTTCATTTTACTACAGCTGTAATAGATTCTAAAACAGTTGTCTAACAGAAATGAGCATTTTTGAATAGCTTAGATATATTGTCTTTATTTATTATTTTATTCTCGTACGAACCGACAACACTGTATGCCGCATTTTATCTTGTCTCTCTGTCTATCAACTGGTCGTATACAGGGTGTCCCAGGCTAAACGTGCATTAGAAGTTTCTAGAGAACTACAACATCTAGTTTGGAGATTTTTAGCACATCGTAGTTTCACAACCATATCTATCCAAACCAAACCATTAAAAATATTTTCAATATGGCGGCACTTCCAGAAATACCGGAAGTTGACAGTAACTTTCTTATTTTAAATGAGTTCCCCCATTTTCTGTTACATACTTAAAGTCTCTGTAAAATTTTACGAATTTTGATATTAAACACTCTCTACTAACATTGACCGTTTTTGATAAATAAAAATATTTATAATTTTTGAACTAAAAAAACTGCCTGTCAAAAATATGTGTATACCCTAAACGTCAAATTGAGTGATTACCACAGCCACTGTGCCATAAAGAGAGCTATCTGTAGCTATCTATTTCAAAAATTGAATTGTTGGAATGTCATATAATATTTTGATTAAAAAATTATCATAAATCACTTTTTTCAAATGGAAACCCACTTTTTTATTTCACTAATAAAAAGGCGTTTCAATTCGTTACGTTTTGACTATACATATTCCTATACCTAAAATAAATCGTTTTTAAGTTATTTAAGATTTAGTTTTAAAGCGTATATTTTTCTTGATTTTAACCAAGGCTATATTACTTTAAACGTCAAGTGATGTAAAACAATAGATATGGCCATGTCATATCATAAATGTCATATTGTGACGCTTTGTTCAAAAAGCAGCATCATTTCTGAGTCAACTTTGCGCTGTTTTTTTTTCGATCATACGGAATATTATTAATAATATCAACTTTAGATATAACTATAGAGCGAAAATACGAGATATATTTTTATAAATACACTTCTTAAACTCTTAAGCAAGGAGTATTTATAATATAGAAAATTCAAATAATTCGTTTTCTCACAGATGAAAATAAATTGTCTGACCGTTCGACACTTAATGTCAAAGGACGCTAGTTAAAATCAAGAAAAATATACGTTTTCAAATTAAATCTTAAACGATTTATTTTAGGTATAGGAACATGTATAGTTAAAAAGTAGCGAATTGAAAAACCTTTTCATTAGTAGAATAAAAAAGTGGGTCTCCATTTGAAAAAAATGATTTATGATTATTTTTTAACCGCTCAATTCCATGACAGCTACCGCCATTATTATGACATTTGAAAAATTTAATTTTTGAAATTGATAGCCACATATCTTCTCTTTATGTCACAGTAGCTGTGGTAATCACTAAATTTGACTTTTAAGCCATACAAATTTTTTTGAAATTTTTGAAATAGATAGCTACAGATAGCTCTCTTTATGTCACAGTAGCTGTGGTAATCACTAAATTTGACTTTTAAGCCATACAAATTTTTTTGAAATTTTTTTCGTCCAAAAATTTTAAATATTTTTTTCTCAAAAACGGTTAATGTTAGATATAGAGTGTTTAACATCAATGTTCACAGAATTTTACAGATAATTTTTCATGTATTTTTTTAATAACATTTCATGTATGTAATAAAAAATAAGGGCGCCCATTTAAAATAAGAAAATTGCTGTCAACTTCCGTATTTCTGGAAGTGCCGCCATATTGAAAATATTTTTAATCGATAAATCTCGTTGAAAAATAATGATGAACTTACCCCAGAGATTAACCAATGCAATCAAATTTGTCAAAAAAGTTGAAGAATTTAGAAATTTACCGAGTGGTTAACTTTAACGGTGAATAACTTTTGAAGGAGTAAGTTTATCGAAAAATTGTAAAAGACATTTTTTGTAGAGCGTTCAGTTCTGTACAAGAAGATTGTCAAGGTGCGAGAAAACAAGATCGAAAGAAAAAAAAAATATTTGCAAAATGTGGCAAAATCCCATGTAATTTAAATGGGAAATGAATCATCTTTGCAGCAAGGTCTATAGTGAATATTAAGGGTTTACAATGGTATGTTATTTTTTTAGACAATAAATTAAAAATTTAGAGGGCGTCCTGAGAGAAATGATCAACTTTGTAAATAACGGACACTCTAATGTCACAAGCACTAAAAAAATTAAATTTTAAAATGTTTTATATTATTTTATCTCAAGTTATAGTCTTAGTTTGATAACAATCAGAGATATGACAATGCCAAGTCTGATATTAAGTCTTATTCATGTATCTTGTTTGTAGGTAGAAACTTGCCTTTTTCATAAAAGTTAGTGCTTTCCATAGTACCATTTGCTATTATAGTTATGAAATTTGTTTTTGCTTGTTGGTTTCCTAAAACTAACAGTATTTTGAAATCGTGACACTAAATATTATGAAATATTTTCTGTGAAGTAATTTTTTGAAATTAACACTGGTTTACCACAATACAGCAAAAAAACCTAAAAAGTTGAGTGTGCACTATGTGCGCATATTTGAAGTGTAACTTCTTACTAACAGCCTTCTAACAGCTAGTAAATTGAGGGATTTGAAGGACATGTTTGAAAAAGTGTAGTTTGAAATGTTGATAAAGTAATAAATTAAAAAGATATTTTGTTTTTAAGCGTAAAAAATAGTTTTTTACGTGTAACAAATAGTTTTGAAGTGCAACGAATAGTTTTGTACGCGTAAAATAAAACACGTCGCGTCACTACGTATTTCTAATCTGTAGGCTATGTTTTATTTCCAGCGCGCGTCTAAATCGTTACCACTTTTCGTTTCGCTAGCTCGTGTGTCACGGCATTGAATTTTTATTCCAAGCGCGCGTAAAATAGTATCAGAAAAGAAGTAAAAAACTTTCTTTAAACACAGGACAGGATCATGATTAAAAACTCGAAGTTTTAATCATGATCTGATGTGTATTGTGGGGTAATAGTGTTTCATTTTGCTGTTGTAACGCTAAATATTTTAGCATCAGCTCTATTAAGCACCTAATTAGTAATTAGTTGTTTAGGAAAATCCATTTTATCTCATTCATCATCAATTTCAAAATATACTTATATGTAGGTGATGTAGGTTAATGTTAATGTTAAAAGGTAGAGTGGCGGTCATACAGGCTACTTACATGGTAGTATGTTAGGTGTAACTGCACAATTTATGTCGATCATAAGTAGTTAAGTATACTTATTCATATAAATTCATTTTACCATAAAAATTAAAACAAAAATAGCGTAAACTTTTTTAATTAACGAGGAACTTGTTTAACTAATGTAAACCTTTTCAATATTTGTAAATAATAGTATTAGGCAATCATTAAGAACAAATTATCAATAAATTATGTAGTATAATAAATTAAAGCTCAATTAATAGGTATCGAGATAGGTTTAAGTAAAGCTATAGTTTATTCAGAAATGATTGAATGTTAGCTACTCATTTTTATATTTCTAATCATTATGTATTTTTAATATGATTCTACAAGGTTATCATTTTTTTTAATAATAAAGTAATGGTACTAAAATTAGAAGCGCAGTTCATATTATTAGATTAGATTAGATTCTTAGAGGTGGCATTCGGCCTGATCCACTGCGACCTTCTCAGATCTATTGTGGTCCTCTTCTGATCCTTAGATTACATTCTCCAGTCCTATCCTTTTCACAAAGTTTAGCAACTTGGAGACTGAACCCTCCATGTAGCTCCCTGGCAATAGCCTATCATTGCCTATTACCGGGAACCGTACATTTGCCAGGCTGTCACACCGATATAAAATGTGTTCTTAGGTTTCTTCTTCAGATTGGCAGAACCTACACATAATTGTCTGTCAGTTCCATCAGCTTTAGATGCCTATTTAGCTTACTTTAGTTCATATTATATTTTAACTTAAATTTTAGTGTGGTAGATTTGCGTCCCTATGTTACAGATGAAATGGCGTTCGCAGATTTAGGACCAGGAATTAAACAACCTTTTTTGAAATTGCCGACGTTTTGACGTGTATTTTCGTCCTGTATTTCTTGAATTTTAGAGTTCTATCAAATGCATTTAATTAAAATATATTTACCAGCGGCGCGCGGCGTAGCATGGCGTCAATACAAGGGGATGTAATAAATAACTGCCATTAAAATTTTACCAACATAACAAAGTTTATTTCTTTTTTTATTAGTCCAACGTCTAAGTCTAAATCTAAGTCTATAAGTCTTTAATTTTGAAGCTACAAAAATAAAATATACAAAAAATGTAACAGTAATAGGGTTAAAAAATAATCAAACCGATTTAAAAAAGGAACTAAATTTAGGTAAAAAAAACAAAGCTATGAACGTATATGTTAAATTTAAAATTAAGATCAACTCTTCTAGTATGCATATTTGCGAAAACTATTATTCCATGTTCTTCAAATGAAGGAGAAGAACGCATACTCTCTATTAATGTTCATCATAAATCATCGTATTCGGTAGTATTCCATACATTTTTCTCCTTGGAAAATGGTAGACAAGGCCAACAAAAAAGTTTTTGAGTTATGATTAATGTCCAAAATATGCTTTGGAGGTTCATCTTCAATAGTTTTAAATAGAACTGACGATTGCAAGATTATTTCAATTTTATTGGTGCACTTAGAATCGGTCATCGCGACGCGCGACTATTTTTTATTTTATACCGCGATGTGTGTTTACAACCTAATCCTACCGACGGGAGACGTAATCGCAGCCGGAAAGTTAGCTGACCTCGGTTCGCGTTTGGCGGTGTTCAAGATGTAACGAGGACAGTCGCATCATAGCGCTGTCGACCGCAACGACGGCGACGATGCCATCAAGTTCGACCAATACACACATTAAATAATTGAAATTGAATTTAATTATTTGAAGAAATTTACTGAGAATCAGTAACAGAGAATTATCAGTGACTTTTTTAAGTAACAACGTATTACAATATTTTGAAGAGATAGATCAGAGAATATATCAGAAGCTTCGCCGCTGATATTTACTAAAAGAAAGTTGTATGACAAAAATTTTGAACAAGGTTTAAAGCAGTTTAAGTATGTAATAGTAATCTAAACACCTAGTTGTGTCTAATGCCTTTATGGAGTGAGGTATATTTTGTGGCAGTTACAATGTCCAAAGTCGAAAAAACAAAAATTTTACTTATAATTTGTTCTATACAGGGTGAGTCATAATACTCATAATTGCAAATATTTTCAGGGCCCGTAGATCTCGGTAAAATAAACCTATTTTCTCTTTACCGTTTTTCAAATAAGACGAAATATATATATTTTTTTCGTTTATATTGTGAGAACTACTGGATATGTTGTGGGTATTCTTTCTTGTAAATTTATCAACCATCTATGTTGCTATATGCATCTATGTTTTTTAACTAAAACTTTAAAAAAAATCCGAAAAATCTTTCAAAGAATTTCAATTTGTTTTGTGAAAAAAACCTTATAGCCGTTTTTCTGGGGCTGAAATAAACTACCCCTAAAAATATTTGCGCTCATTTAAGACTCACCCTGTATTAATTATCACCCTGGCTATCCATCCAGAAATATTAACTATGAATTTAACATTACCTTTCCAAATTATATTTGACACATTTAACTGTTCCCGATACACTTAATTCTCATATTTCTACACGAAAATAGTTTTATCTTTAATTACAATGCCTAAACTACTTTTTACTAAATTAAGTAAACCGCCGAATAAATACAATAAACACACGTTTAACTTCTAGTCCAGCTTAAACAATGAGTAACATTGCTTGTATTATGTTATCGTACTGAACGTGCGATAATCAATTTTAAAGAAAAAAATACGCGAGTTGCGGTTATTGTGATGTTATCTGTTTTTCAAATACCGGTACTCTCAAACCAAATTTCATATATTTAACTACTACATTTTTATTTATAATTTAATGCTATTGAATAGGATGAGTTTGAAGTTTTCGAGTTGTACACACGCAAAGCATAGTCATCTTAACCTATTTAAAACGATGTTTTTGCTGATAAAGATTCATAAGTTGTTAGAAAATAATATTTACTTATTACGATCAAAAATACGCATGTCATATTTTCATTAACCAGTGATTTTTATTTTCTCGCATATTTTGGTTTGATATTATGTATTTCTCAGCACGATTACAGAACACTTAAAACTGCAGCTGCGTTCATCGTTATATTCGTGACAGCCATCTCGCGATCATTTACATGAAGCTCTGTGTATCTACTTACATAATATACCTTCTGATTACTGCTTGTTTAATGTTATGTAATAAGAAGGACATTGAACTCAATTGAAGCTTTGTTTATAAAAACTACCGAGACTGATGCTCTAACCTACATATGTACGAGAACAGGCGTACCAGTTGATGCGCTGGTACTTAAAAAATAGCGAAGTCGACTGATGGCTGTCTAATGGACATCATCATTGAAATAAATAGAAGTGTTGTAGAATGTAGAATGAAGAGAGAAGAGATAATGAGTGAGTGGGGGGTTAATCACTGCGATCACTTGAGATTTATTGTGCCCCCCTTCCTTGAGTAACTCATCACACAGTCCCATCATACATTTTTCTGTTGTAGGGGGCAGGGTATTTTCCATCCTCCTCTGACTACAGATCCTCCGAAGGTACACACCAAATACACCTTTCTACGGTTGGAGTTTGGCCCTCCGTACCCTTCACAGTCGAGAGGCTTGCCTCCGGCTGAGGTAGGTACCCGTGAAGTGAAGGCTGGAAGATCTGTCCCCATTTTCTCCACCTCTTTACTTGGTATCTCTTTAGACATGATACCGGTGTGGTCCCGTATCTATAATAGATTTCTCTTTCTCTATCGCTTCCTTAGATTTGAGGTCATTTCCTATTGTGGGGACCTAACCATGACCCTACTTCCTCGAGTTCATGCCTGAACTCGATGTCCCTATATTGCAGTTCTGAGTGGTGTCTTTCCCCTTGTTCTAGGCAGAAAGACCGTGATAGCCGTTTTGGAAAATAGAAGTGTTAATAAAAATCTAATACCACTAAGAAAAATGTCATTTAAGTTATTATATTCTTAAGTCTTTTTTCTGTGTATGTACTTGTTAACTTACACTTGTAATTTTGACAGACGGCATATTGTAAATAGAACACATGTTTAGAATATGTAGTATATATTCAAGATACAATATGCAATCTCGTACGTATTGTATACGTGTATTGGATATTTATGTACTACATTGTAAATAGAATACAATTTTTTTATAGTGTTTTATACAGAATAAGTCTTAAATAAGTGCAGATATTTTTAGGGGTAGTATATTTAAACCCCAGAAACACGTTAATGCGTTTTTTTGCAAAAAATATTTTAAAAATTTGGAATTTTTTGAAATTTGTTTTGGCAATTATGTTAGTTAAAAATAATAATATACTAATCCTTGGCAATGCTTAAAACGAACCTTAAATTAATGTATATCGATATCGAGCTACCGTTTCGTCTACCCGGCCTGGGTAAACCTGGCGGGCTAGACGATCCTCTGAGAGTAGGTCTTAGCGGATCAGAAGCACGGAGATCCGACTGCTCCACGAAGGATTTGCTCCAGAGGAAGCTAAAGCGAAAACACTCCTCCAAGTAAGGTAAGACAAACGAGAGTAAAGAAACCAAGAAACAACCTGACTCATCTCCATCAAAGGGCAAGAGAGGGAGCGAGAACCTCTCACCTCTTCTCCGGGAGAGAAAAAAGCCAGGATGGAAAGCCGTCCAACACCGAGAGGCAAGCAGGGAGGTATCACCAGCTTTGCCGCTATTGCTGGACAAGTGAAAATGGCGGTGCTGGCAAAGGATTTCCCAGAGGTTGCTCTGACACCGAACAGCAGACGTCTCTAGAAGAGGCAAGTAGTGGCGATCTCTGGACGAAGTATTGGCGATCGGATTGCAACACAACGATCTACAAAATGTGGGTCAGCTGCGTTTTGCGGGAATACACTTTCGGGTGGGCATGATCCCCATAGATTGTGTATCTCAAGAATCGGTGAATTGGTTGGTGGAAACCGCACCTAAGCTTAAAAATTGGCAAGGGACGGAACTGGTTGCAGTGAAGGGAGAAAACATGCCTAAAGGGGCGGCCATCATGGTCTTTCTGCCGAGGAGCAAGGGGAAAGACACCACCTACCTGCTGAGCCTTATCCAGAGTCAGAACTTCAATGTAAGGACGTCGAGTTGGCGAGTTATCAACTCCAGGGAGGAGGGTCATGGTGAGGTCCTCACAATAGAAATTGACCTCAAATCCAAGGAGGCAATAGAGAAAGAGGGACATATCCTCTATTATAGATACGGGACAACACCGGTATTAGGTATAAGGAGAGACCAAGTTAAAGAGGCGGAGAAAATGGAGACAGATCCTTCAGCCTCCACCTCACGGGTTTCTCAGCCGGAAGCAAGCTCCTCCACTGTGAAGGGCGGCACGGAGGGCCAAACTCCAACCGTGGAAGGGTGTGTACCCTCGGAGGAAGAACTGTTGTCAGAGGAGGATGGGAAATACCCTGTCCCCTCTACAACAGAGGTATGATGGGTTATGGACTGTGTGATGACTCAAGGAAGGGGGGCACAATACATCTTTAAAGTCGCAGTGACCAACCCCCCCTCTTACTCATTCTACATTCGACAATGTATATCGATGTAAAGAATATTTTAGGCATATTTAAAATATCCTCGAAAATATCCTAGAAGATATGCAGGATACAATAGCAAGAGAAATTCAGTATAGTCTAATTATACTTGTATTTCTATATTATTTTATTGAAGATTTACAGATATGTTTGTTGAATATATGAAACCTTGACACAACAATTCGAAGTTCATATTCGAAGTTTATATGGTATGGTGGTAAGAAACTACTGGGGGAGAGATACGAATTCGGTTAGATGAGACAAAAGTTGCATTATTAGAAGTTTGAAAAACGCCTGTGAAGAAAACGCCAGTATCTTGATTAGTTCCTGATTTACGTAAAAAACTGAATTTATTTGTTGTTGGCATGTCACCATTGGTCGTTGATTCGTCCCCAGCTCGATGGATATTTAATGGCGCGTTCTCACGACTCGTGTACTTGACAAACATTTGTGATTGATATACAGGGTATACATGGGTACGTTAGGCACCTATGCAGAATTTCTAAGTTATTTATATAGGAGGTATGCCGCACTCCCGCCAGACCCTTTAGGCCAATAAAAAATACTTGCCAAGTACACGAGTCGTGAGAATGCGCCTTAATATGATGCCCTGTAGTGTCTGTAGCTTAAATAAAACCAAGGAAAAAATGCGTAAAAAAGTTTTACTAATCTCATAATAATATTTACATTTCACTCAATAAATAACTTAATAGAAAAAAATACTTGTCAATTTATAGAACACGCATACAGGCACATAATTTTTGAGTATATTATATATTTACAAATTATTTAACACCTATTTACCACACAAACATAAAACGTGTAACGAAATAGCATTTTATTTCTGACATTAGCCGCCCGGACACGCAAGGAATTTTTGATAGATTTGTTCCATACTTTACATACTTTTTCTACATTTCACTACGATATTTCCAACCTCTTTAAAATATAGGATCGCACCACAAAGTCGGCCACAAATCAAAAGATTTTGCTATTAACTGCGAGGTTAATAAATACCCTTGAGAATCGCATATACCTACATATGAAAAATCAGATATGTGCCAAAATATCTGTACTCTGGGTAATATCTGGGCTGGGGGACCGATCGCTTAAAAACCCCTTGCGTATAGGCGGGTATTGACAGGTTAACCATTTTTTATTAGTCAGAAACCGGAGTTTTTACCTTTAGACGATTTAGAAAAATGCTCTTATTGTTTATGGCATTTGATATAAAACAAAAGATATTAGATCTAATTTACTTTTTCGAAATTGACAATTTCAAGTCAATTTGTCATGCAAAACAAAGTCGTTTCAAAAAGTTTCGTGATCAAGCGTGTTTTGATAGATGAACATTCTTTTACGTGAAATACATTAATATTTCTTAATTGTCTAAAAAATGCTTACACTCACTTGATCATAAGTCATAAGACTTTTTAAGTTTAACTTTTGGAACATTTTTGTTTGATTTCAATTCTTTAGACAGCGCCTTCATATTGTATTTAGTTATAAAGACTACTTTATCAGATTATCTTTAAATAAATTACTTTTTCAGATTGGTTTTAAATAAAGTTTGTCTAACTATCATTATAAAAAATAATAAAGCAAACCTAAAGCTAAACAATTATTTAAACATACTATACAACATCGTAGCGTACTCGAATAATACTTTTAAGTATATACAGTCTTAGAGAGTCTAAAATCTATTAAATCATTTATGATCAATTTATGTACAGGGTGGTCGGGATTGGTCTGTTTTAACCGAGAAAACCTATTTCCCGACTAGATAGAGTAAAACCGACATAGATGTCATGGGCTTGATTTCTGAGACACGTTTAATGGCGTAAACCGCCTGTTGATATCTTCACTGCCAACTGAGATACAGGGTCTTTTTGAATTTTTTACCATTTGGAAAATTGCCCATAACTTTTGTATTTCACGGAATAATAAAATTCCGTAAAAACGCTGTTAAGGCACTGTTTTAAGCACAATCCAGTGGCGTAGTTAGTTTTTTTTTCTATACTTGCTGTTTTTGTCAGAAATAGTAAAAAATATTATTTTTTAAATGGAAATCATAGTTGGCTATGAACTTAAAAAAATGCTGGCGTTTAATCCTTTTGAACGATGTAAAGTTATATGTATTTATTTCTAAGAATGAGAGAAATATTAGGTTTTTTTTTATCTTTGTATCGAAGAAGGCCTTGATTTTGTGTTGAGATAGTTGCCTAATTATTTTTTATTACAGTTTAATATTCTATACTATTATTTATCTGCATAATTAAAGCCTTTTGAAAAGGTAAATCAACATTCTATATTAGTATTACCAATTATAAATAAAACGCCAGGGTTACAACTGAACTATTAAATGGAGAATTTAGAGAGGTTTGGAATGGAACAAGGGGCCCCATATCTTAGCCTGCTAGGTCCTGTGATTTAACTCCTTTCGACTTTTTTATGGGGGAAATTAAAAAACCTTATATATAAGGGAAGAACCATTGGGACGAGAGAAGAATTGCAGAAGGCTACTAGGCAAGCTTTTGGACTTATTACACCAGCTCACCTAATAAATCGTTATAACTCTGTGCGCAAAAGATGTTTATTGTGTATTCAACAAGGAGATCCTCAGTTTGAACATCTTTGATGATTTTTTTTAGAAAACTATATTCGTCACTTAAAAATACATATTTTTAGTATTGTTCTTTGTTTATTGTTTCGATTTCAATTGTAATTACTAATGTAATAAAATGTAATAAAATATTAATTTACCTTTTCAAAAGTCTTTAATTATGCAGATAAATAATAATATAGAATATTAAATTGTGATAAAAATTAATTAGGCTTTTTATGTGTTGACCTATAATCAAGGCCCGCTTCGATATAAAGAAAAAAAACCTAATATTTTTCTCATTCTTAGAATGAGAGAATGGGTATCTACCCATAACTTTATATCGTTGGAAAGGGTTAAACGCCAGAATTGTTTTAAGTTCATAGCCAACTATGATTTGCATTTAAAAAAATTATATTTTTTATTATTTCTGACAAAAAGAGCAATCATAGAAAAAACTGACTACGCCACTGGATTGTGCTTAAAAAAGTGCTTTAGGAATGTTTTTACGAAATTTTATTATTCCGCGAAATACAAAAGTTTGGTTTGGTTGCGATAATAATATAAGATATTATATTATAGATAAGCAATTTTCAAAATAGTAAAAAATTCAAAAAGACCCCGGATCTCAGTTGGCAGTGAAAATATCAACAGGCGGTTCACGCCATTAAACTAAACACTTAAGTGTCTCATAAATCGAGCCCATGATCTCTATGTCTGTTTTGTTCCATCTAGTCAAGAAATAGGGTTTCTTTGTTAAAACAGGCCAATTTCGACCGCCCTGTACAAGACTTTCAGAGATATTTAGTGTGATATCTGGCAGGCTTACGGATTGGAGGTAGTCAAAACTCTAAATGCAGTAGGAATGTAAATCAAAATAAACAAAACACAACCAGACAGGTAGTAACATCACTGAATAATAACATCACTTATATAACATGGCTATTTTAATTAAAAACCCTGTATATTTTAAGTTTAGTTATATTAACAATAATATATAGCCACTAAATATCTCTAAAAATCATGTACAGGTTCAGAATAGTTACAGGAGCAAGACTTTCAGTCAGATGCCTTCAAAATGCGTTAGCCATTTTTTATGTAGTATATACATTAATATTACAAAGCAATACAGTTTTGTAAATGTAATTACAAAAGAAACAGAAATAGCATTTCTTTTGCTCCTTTTGAAGGAAATTGTTCATAATTAACGAAATCAACCATAATTACATGCAAACACTTCTATAGATATCATTTTTGTTATAGAAATAATAATACTTGTTTAAAATATTATGGATAAAGAATAAATACTATTAAAGTCAATGCAATTAAACTATTCTGCGGTATGATTCTTAAATCTCTCCACACCATCATTTGATAACCTAACCTAAATAATTTCACTTTTAGCGTCCTTGTTCTTGATGTCCAACAACGTAGTGGTGGACATCGCTACGCGAGGCATAGTTTCGGGTTTTCTGCGCACCATACTGAGAGAATAGGCTGCGCAGACGGTGCCTAGCAGCATACCAACGCCCACGTCCCACCAGTGGTGGCGTTTGTCAGTGATTCTGGTCAGGGAGCAGACTAGAGCCCACGTGACACACATTGAGATAGTGAAGAGTTTGAAGATTTGGCCTGTTTGGACAGTGGACAGTCGTGCGTGTAGAATATACTGAAAGGAATAAAAATGCTTAATAAATATTTAGTCTCCACTGTATAAGTTATGATATTCGTTCATTAAACACTAGTAATCCACAATAAGAGTCCACCGAGAGACTACCTATGTAGGGCGAGTCTTTAAATAAGTGCTAATATTTTAAGGAGTAGTATATTATGTCGATCCCAAGGACAGTTTTTTTGCAAAAAAAAATGTTGAAAATTTTGAATTTTTGGAAACATTTCTTAGTTTTTTTAATATTTAGTTAAACAATATATCTTGATAATATGGCAACATAGGTAGTAGATTAAATTTAGAAAAAGAAAACCCCACAAAAAGCCAGTGGTTCTAATATACCGTGTGGTGCATCGCAACACGGGACATAGGAAATCCGTATTATAAATTTTTAGTAATTTGAAGGTAGATTTTTGCAATTAACTTTTAGATGCCTATTCCAAATAAAACAGAATTCTAGACAAAGGTACAATTTTAACGCCTCTTCTAAAAAATTTATAAAGTCAAATAGAATTTTTGAATAAAACCATCTGGGGAGATATTATTTGACATTTGAAAAAAACTCCATGGCATTTCCTATGTCCCGCTTTCCGATGGTACATACTATACATAAATAACTATTTCTTTTTGGATTATATCATTCTTCGGGCAATATATACATACATATATATTTTTAGACACAATATAATGATAAGATTATAATGTGTCAGTGTATATGTTTGTTTGATATGAAATAGATGTAGTAATGTGACTTTTACAAAAAAACTTTTACTGTGTTAAAATGTAAATTTCTAATTTTGCTTTTGTGACGTTCAAGGTTATAATAAAAAGGTTTTGAAAAAGATCAAATAAAGATCGAGAGGGCCCCATGACCCCCCCCCCCCTCTGTATCCGCCACTGCCTGTATCTGTGTTATTATGGATGATAACGGAAAGGTGAAAACTGATTCTTGTAGAACTTTATCCGTAGAATACAGTTACGTAGTCTGTTTTCTTATGTAACAAATATTTTTGAAGATATTATCTAATTATGAGTTTTCAAATGGAACACCCTGTATATTCATAAATCATATGATCCGCCTTGCTATGAGCTTCACAAAAATATATATCACTCTATATTTATTTTCACTATTTACTGCAATATTTAAAATATATCATTTTCTTATTAGTAAGCCGTGATAAATAACAAAAAATCAAAATGGTATTTACTAAAATAGTCATACAAATATTAAAATTTTATTTGGAATTGATATATTTTACTTTTATTTTACCCCTGAATCTCTGAATATATTTTTCTTTTTTTATAACGGAATTTATTATAACGGGATGGGTTTGCAAATATCTAAAAGCTTGCATTATTAAAGAATTTTCCAGGTGTTCGACATTGTGTTAGTTGCCACCTCGGTTGCCACGATATATTTCATATTTCAAAAATCCCCAAAATCAAAAATCGAGAACGGACAAATCCGGGAGCAAAGGAGGATCCGTTGGTCCAATTCATTGATTTGAGAAATAATAATTTAACAAATAATATTTTCGTTGTAAGTTAAGTTGTGAGGGGGACCCTCACATCTTGCTGAAAGTATATTTCACGTAAATTAGCTAAAGGAAAATTTAAAAGTTCCGATACAGCAGCTTCCAAGATTTACAAACAGCGGTAGATAGTTTTAAGTTTCCCTAATATATAAAGAATTTATTAGTGGTTCTCAAAATAAAACAAGAGACAGATAGCAGTATACTTTTAATAATTATTTAGTTTCTTTTATTATTAATCATGGTCTACTAATAAACTTGATCTTTTAATATATTTTTTTTTAATATTGCACTAAATAGTGAAAATAAATATAGAGTGATATACTATATTTTTGAAAAGCTTATGGCAAGCCAGATCATATAATTTATAAATATACAGAGTGTTCCATTTAAGAAAACATAACTTTAATTCATACCTTAATTTATTTAATTATAGAATTTTAATTATAAAAATATTCTTTTCGTAGAATAACAGACTACGCCATTGTATTCTACGTAAAAAGTTCTACAATAAACAGTTTTCACCTTCTCGATACCTTTATCAATAACAGAGATACAGGGGGTGTCCCAAATTGCAAAATTTTCAAAAAGACCCTGAAGCTCAAAAACGAAAATCAACATTTTGTTTACGGCATCTTTGGTTTGACAAAAAAGTGGCACAGGCTTGTGCAAACCGCACCCTCCTATCTTCACGACTAACGGAGATACCATATGATTTCAACTAAAATGGGACACCCTGTACTTGGACCTGTTTTCATCTTCCAACTCGACTTGCATAAAACCTGAGGATAAAACAGTTAATACTATACAAGTAACGTACAAGTGTAACGTTCCTAAGCAATATTATAAGTACAGTTATATGGTGGCATCTAAGTGTATTACTTGGTTCAAGACACTTGGATCGTGTAACCGCCTTAAAACAGTTGATACTATACAAATAGCGTAAAAGTGAGACGCAGCGCAACGTCTATACAAGTATATTTATATAGCAGCACCCGGCTGACTTGGTCTAAGTACAATTAGACTACCAATTTTCTGTGAGACTTACGGAACAGAAAAATGCAACAAATGCACTCAAAGACGAATGGCCGCTAGGAAAACTTCTAGAAGTGTCAGACATGAAGTAGTTGCTGTATTTGGTGACGGTACATTCGTAGGTTTCGACGTACTCTCCTGGAGTGCAGTTTTTGGCAGTTGTCGGTTGACAGACGTCGAAGAAATGCGGTCTGTGTTCACCGACTAGCGCTTTCATAACCTCGGTGATGAGCAGAACCAAAGCACACCTGAAATATCAAAATAAATGTAAGAAATTATACAAACTCTATTTTATGGCACTCCTAATAACAAGCATAGGCTTGGTGCATTCTCCGTCGGTGCTGCCATCATCGGGGAATCCCGTAAAAAACCGGCTTTTACAAATACATGAGCATAAGCTTAAAATAGTGAGTACACCAAAAATCTGTTAGGTATAGGCTTGGTGCGTTTCATCTGATTTCAAAAAAATCAGACCGCAGCGCTGTGTACGACAGAAATCAGATATTTTCACTATGTAATTCACGCCGTCCCGGTTACAGTTCATGCCGATCGCCTTAAAATAATATTGAAATCGTGGCTTTGTCATAATATTTAAGTATTTTAGTTTTTTGCTAGTACAGTTATTCCGCTGGAAAGAGCATTACAACCATATCCTTAACCAAGACAACATCCCCAATATTCAAGCACTAAACACAATACCTCAATATAACAGCATCGATGTATTAGATATCCCAATAACGGAACAGGAAATAAAGGCCTCCATAAAACAACTTAAAAATAACAATTCGGCTGGCTGTGACGCGATTCCAGCGGAAATCTATAAGTGTGCAAGTAAAGAACTTATTGGTCATCTTAAAGCTCTCTTCGATGTCATATGGGAAAGCGGAGAGGTACCTCAGGACTTTCGCAACGCGAATATAGTGAATATATTTAAGAACAAAGGAAGTGCATCAGATTGTGGAAACTACCTACCGAGGAATTTCACTACTGGTTATCGGAGGAAAAGTTCTCGCAAAAATTATGTCAAACCGCCTTCACCCACATATAGGAAAAATCCTCCCAGAATCAACAACAACGAACAAACGGGCTTTCGCACCAACCGCGGTACCGTTGATTCCATATTCTCCGTCCGCCTGCTACAGGAAAAAGTAAAGAAACAGCAGAGTAAACTTTATGTTGCATTCATCGACCTTACGAAATCCTTCGACTCTGTAAACAGAGATGCACTTTGGGCAATTATGCAAAAGTTCGGAGTGCCCAACAAATTTCTTACTGTGTGTAAAAACCTCCATAACAACAACAAGTCGAGAGTGTCACATCATTGATCACTGAGCGATCCCTTCCTGACAAATACAGGAGTTAGGCAGGGATGTGTCCTAGCTCCTCTCCTATTCAACATATTCATGGCAGCGCTCTCTACTATAGTGGACAGCAAACTGCAGGAAAGAGGAATGGGTGTTAGATACAGGTATGACGGCGGTTTGTTCAACATAAAAAGACTCAGGGCAAAAACACGTATAAAATTCATCACAGAACTCCAATATGCTGATGATTGCGCTCTAGTTGCAACTACGTTACAGCAAATGTTGAATACATATACCTGGGCATACGAGACTTTGGGCCTTAAACTGAACATCGATAAAACTAACATCATGTGCACTCCCCCGGAAAATCATAACAGCGCTATAAAAATCAGAGAAGAACTATTGGAATATGTATCGGAATTTAATTACCTCGGCACTTTGATTTCGGAAAAGGCAAATATCGACTCCGAAATTCAGCACAGAATCTGCAGGGCCTCAAGAGCATTCTGGAAATTAAAAGACAGGGTTTTCTACAATCATGACTTGAGTACAAAAACGAAACTTGCAGTATATAATAATAATAATAATAATAATAATAGAGGACTTTATTTACTAGAAAAGAAGAAATACATAAGTAATAAAAAAATCGATAACATTTTCCAACAATTGCCGTTCGACAGCAGGCGAAGTCTAGCAGAGATGCTATTCCACTTAACCGGCAGGTCGACAACAACTGTCAGATTTGGCAGGACACAATTACATAAAAATAATTCTTATTAAAACTAAAGCACTCTCTTAAATAATATAAAACATAACGACAGTTAGAGAGAAACAAAATTTAACGTTACACAATATGCTAGATTAAAAGCTGAAAAAAAAATGACACTCTTTGCCTAGTGGCTGACAAACCCCAACAATACAAACAAAAAAAAAACGAATCACAGACAGGATCAGTGGTTTTCACACAAAAACATCCTTGTATATTTTGAGTTGTCCACCCATATCGAGCAGTAATAATCCCCACCATGTTATATGGAAGCGAAACCTGGGTGCCGTACCGCCGGCACACGAGCGCATTAAACAAGTTGCAACAGAGACAGACACCTTATAGACAACTGTTAAGAATCAAATGGTACCACCATGTCTCAAACGTATCAGTCCTTGAAAAAGTAAGCTGCGAGAGCGCTGAAGTCATGATTAGTAAATCTCGCTTAAGATGGGCTGGCCAAGTATGCAGGATGCAAGAAAACCGTCTACAGAAATCTTTTCTTTATGGTGAACTTGTAGAGGGTAAGAGGAAACCGGGTGGACAACTCAAAAGATACAAGGATGTTTTTCATGAAAACTTAAAGGGGATAAGTATGCAGCATCAGTGGGAGGAAGCAGCGCACAATAGAACGCAATGGAGGAGAATTGTAAATTCAGTTAATAACGACAACCAAAAACTAAAGAGGCAATAAAGCAATGAGATTTTTGAATGTCCGGAGTGCGGTAGGCAAATAACATCACGTATCGGGCTTTTCAGTCACAGAAAAGCTCATGACAGGAAACGTCTTGCGTAACCATCTTCTGATGCGTGTCAAATACTCGTCAGCGAGTAATGGCAGTAAGTAAGTAAGTAAGTGCAGTTATTGAAACTATAAAACATTCAGGTACGAGGTTTCTGTGATATATTTTTATTTACATACATACATATACTGCCATTACTCGCTAACGAGTATTCGACACGCATCAAAAGATGGTCACGCAAGGCGTTTTCTTTCATGAGCTTTTCTGTGACTGAAAAGCCCGATACGTGATGTTATTTGCCTACCGCACTCCGGACATTCAAAAAACTCATTGCTTTGTTGCCTCTTCACTTTTTGGTTGTCGCTGTTAACTGAGTTTACAATTCTTCACCATTGAGTTCTATTGTAAACTGCTTCTTCCAAATGACTCTGCATGTTAATCCCCTTTAAATTTTCATGGAAAATGTCCTTGTACCTTTTGAGTTGTCCACCCGGCCTTATCTTACCGTCTACAAGCTCACCGTAAAGCAGATATTTTGGTATGCGGTTTTCTTGCATTCTGCATACGTGACCAGCCCATCTTAAGCGGGATTTTGTAACCATGACTTCAATACTCTCGCAGTTAGCTTTTTCAAGGACCGATACGTTTGAGACATGATGGAACCACCGGATTCTTAAGAGTTGTCTAAGTTGTCTCTGTTGCCACTTGTTTAATGCCTTCATGTGTCGGCGGTACGGCACCCAGGTTTCGCTCCAATATAACATGGTGGGGATTATAATTGCTCGGTACACTGCCAGTTTCGTTTTTGTACTCAAGTCATGATTGTAGAAAACCCTGTCTTTTAATTTCCAGAATGCTCTTGATGCGCTGCTAATCCTGTGCTGAATTTCAGAGTCGATATTGGCCTTTTCCGAAATCAAACTGCCGAGGTAATTAAATTCCGCTACATATTCGAAGAGTTCCTCTCCGATTTTTACAGCATTGTTATGATCTTCCGGGGGAGTGCACATGATTTTGGTTTTGTCGATGTTTAGCTTAAGGTCCAAAGCCTCGTATGTCCAGGTATATGCCTTCAAAATTTCTTATAATTGTTGTAACGTGTTTGCAACTAGAGCGCAGTCATCAGCGTATTTAAGTTCTGTGATGAATTTTGTACGTGTTTTTGCCCTCAGTCTTTTTTGTTGAACAGACCGCCGTCATATCTGTATCTAATGCCCAATCCTCTCTCCTACAGTTTGCTGTCCACTATAATGGAGAGCGCTGCCATGAATATGTTGAATAGAAGAGGCAGCTAAGACACATCCCTGCCTAACTCCTGTATTAGTCAGGAAGGGATCGCTCAGTTATCCATGATGTGACACTCTTGACTGGTTGTTGTTATGGAGGCTTTTACACACTGTAAGAAATTTGTTGGGTACTCCGAACTTTTTTATAATTGCCCAAAGTGCATCTCTGTTCACAGATTCGAAGGCTTTCGTTAGATCGATGAATGCAACATAAAGTTTAGACTGCTGCTCTTTTACTTTTTCCTGTAGTTGGCGGATGGAAAATATGGAATCGACGGTGCCACGTTTGGTGCGAAAACCCGTTTGCGATTCTGGAAGGATTCTTTTTATATGTGGGTGAAGGCGATTTGACATAATTTTTGCAAGAATTTTCCCTCTAATAGCCAATAGTGAAATTCCCCGGTATTTTTATTTGTAAGTGAAAAAGAATCCAAACTATGCATCGTGTTGTGTTGTGGCAATTTCAAATGTTAATAAAATTGCCGAAAATTAGAGCATTATTGGGTGCAATAACATTCTTATTGAATGTTATAGCACTCAACTTTCCCGGATATTTAACTCTCCCGAAGCAACATTTTATAGTTTCTCACACCGATTTGATCAAAAGCAAAAATGGATACAAGCAGTTCGACGAAACAAGTGAATAAACCAAAATGCTCGTTACATAATCAAAAAGAGAGGATAAATATAATTTGCATTATTAATGGTATACTTTTTTAATCAACTAGTAAAACCTGTGGTAAAATTATGCACGCTACTGTAGTGGAATTCATCTAAAAAGTTTTTGTAGCTGGATTAATAAATTATAATACAAGATATCAAAATATTTACTATTTTATTTTTATTTTTAGAATTTAAGGTGTCTCTGTTGCCACTTGTTTAATGCCTTCATGTGTCAGCGGTACTGCACCCAGGTTTCGCTCCCATATAACATGGTGGGGATTATAATTGCTCGGTACACTGCCAGTTTCGTTTTTGTACTCAAGTCATAATTGTAGAAAACCCTGTCCTTTAATTTCCAGAATGCTCTTGAGGCGCTGCTAATCCTGTGCTGAATTTCAGAGTCGATATTGGCCTTTTCCGAAATCAAACTGCCGAGGTAATTAAATTCCGCTACATATTCCAATAGTAGGCCAGTGAATAAAGGGGGTGTAGAGTGCGTGAGCAGGGACCTAAGCGATTTCTCCAGAAACTCGTTCAGGGTGCTTAGAAAGTAAACATACTAAAAGTCCTGACGTCTAGGTGGTGAGCCGGACGGGTGGGGGGTGGTGGAGGAAGGCAAACGCAAGAAGAGTTCCATTTTTCATTTTTCGCTTATATCTCCAAAACGGTGTATTGTACGAGCTTTTTTCTAATAAGAAATTAAAGCCTATGAAATTCTCTACAACTTTCATATATATACCTTTTTCGAATTCGCAATCCTTTACGATCTACACGCTCGAGAAAAGTGAAAATTAAGAAAAAAAAAATAATAACCTCAAATTTTTTCATCATACCGTTTAAACTATTCACCTCACAAAAAAGTGTTCTTTAGAAAGTTGTAGAGAATTTAATTACCTTTAAGAATATATACATATGCAACTATATCTTGAACCGGTCAACAGTTACATCAATTATAAACTTTTTCATAAAATTTTGTCTTTTTCAGAAGAAGTTGTGTTTGTTATTCCTGAGCCACAACTATCGCTTGTATGCAGTGATATGTGTTGCTACACGTCAAAGCGGAATGTTAAATGCAAAAAAACAAAAATATTATCAAAATTAGCAAAAATTATTTTAGATTCAAATTTTCATTTTCTTCGGGCGTGAGGGTCCTGGCAAGGGTTCTGCATCTAAATAATTTTCGTCCGCAATTATCGGTGCTTCTGGCTCATCGTCTTCATCTTCCTCTTCGCCATAAATAGGTACTCCGTTAAGGCAATTTCCTTGGCAGTGGAGGCACGCCGCAGAGCAGTTAAGCATTGCTTTACGACATCCACATTTTCCACTAGCACAATCCTTGGTACAGCGGCAAAATATCGTTTTCAGTAGGACCTCCGGTGCTGGTGGATCTTCCGTTATAATTGGCACCAGTGTATCACCTAGGCGTTTCCAACCCCATTCTTGAGGGGCAACTCATTCCCGAGCCACTGCTGAACTTGGAGGTAGGTGCGCCGGGAATGCTGCTTAGCTGCGCCCTCAGTTGGTGGGAGGGAGCTGATATCAGGCTTAATATTTGCCACTGACCTCATGAATGACTGGAAGCGGTATTGGTTGAGGGAGGTCTGACTTGCTGGTGCCCCGTACCATTTGAGAAAGCACATCTTTCCAGCCTCTTCAACCTCGGCGTGAGTGGAAGAGGGGTTGTAAAGGCAACTGCCGCTTTCTTAACGATTTCTGACTTTAAGTACAATTTTGAAAAGCCTACTTTGCTTTTTCTTAAAGTTGAGGATGTTGTGTCGCAGCCGGTAAATGAATGTAAGAACAGAATATGTTCAAATCCACTCTGCTGCATCTTTTGGGAGGACAGTACTATTGTTTTAGTTTTTTCCGCGGCCGGGTTTTAACAGCAGGATGTCTTTGGTGGGAGGAGTGGATGCTATCAAAAGAACAGCGAGGTCTACATCTTCACCAACAACAGTCACAGAACTGTAAGTGGATTGTTCGATAGCAGTTTTTATGATAAGGACGTCAGCATCATCGGTGGCCTCCAGAGTATGTATCCCATACTCCTGAAGTTTTGTCTGTAGTAAGGAAATTAACTGACTTTTGTTAGTCGGATTGGACAAAAAATCTTCTTGTTTCATAGGTATCGATGTGTTCCATGTCAAATTTATGTCAGCCGACCTCTTCAGCCTATATCGTCGTTTCTGTTCTTGTAATTTCGTACTGTTGGTTGAGTTCGAGTACCCATCAAATACTACAGTGCGTCTGGTTCCAGGATAATGGTGATTGACGTAGGTGATATATCCATTACAAATGGTGGCAACGGAGGCATCTTTTTGCCAAATTACTCTATGCAGCAGGAATCCTCCGTCCACTACTATGTTCATATGAGACAGTTGAACAGCATTGTCGGTAGGCTCGAACATCGTGTAAAGGACAGATTTGACTGTCTTCCTCATCCCACTTTCGTTAAACAATGCCAAGGGAAATGGGGCCAACTCAAACTCCAAGAATTTCATTAAATCGTCATCTGATCGTTTGCTTATACACATCCGCTGAAATAGCAATGTTGGGTCAACTGCAACCTTTTCATCGTGAATTTTTATCGATGAGCTGACAGAAGAAAGAGGGAGTGCACGATCTTTGCGCGACAACTTGATACTTGAGAATGGCAAGCCCACGATTTTATTCATAGCCTCTTTTCCAATTCGAAGAGCATCGTAGCAATTAATTGTGGCATCTCCTACCACCCCACTTGCAATTGATATAATTTCACTGGTTTGTGGAAAAGGAGGGTATGAATCAAACCATTGACTGAGTTTGGCAATATCTGCTGTATCCCTACTCCGGCGGGCTTGTCCGAAGTCCTTGTGCTGTTCACTTGACGTGAAAAGAACTCCACAAAACTCTTCAAGGGAAGCACAAATCTCATGAGTTGCGTTCATACCAACTAACCACTTGCTGAGTACACTATGTGAAACACCTCTGCCTCCTGTTATGCCTCCTCGGCTTTTAAATGATCTCATCAATGTTGTTTCAATGGTCATATCCGACCACACGCCTGACCAAAAGCGATCAGAGCGCTTCATGGTAAAGTAGTAGTAGTAGTAGTAGTAGTAGTAGTTATGGTAATTTTTGTTTTTTGCATTTAACATCCCGCTTTGACGTGTAGCAACACATATCACTGCATATAAGCGATAGTTGTGGCTCAGGAATTACAAAAACAGCTTCTTCTGAAAAAGACAAAATTTTATGAAAAAGTTTATAATTGATGTAACTGTTGACCGGTTCAAGATATAGTTGCATATGTATATATATTCTTAAAGGTAATTAAATTCTCTACAACTTTCTAAAGAAGACTTTTTTGTGAGGTGAATAGTTTAAACGGTATGATGAAAAAATGTGAGGTTATTATTTTTTTTTCTTAATTTTCACTTTTCTCGAGCGTGTAGATCGTAAAGGATTGCGAATTCGAAAAGGTATATTTATGAAAGTTGTAGAGAATTTCATAGGCTTTAATTTCTTATTAGAAAAAGCTCGTACAATACACCGTTTTGAGATATAAGCGGAAAAATGAAAAATGGAACCCTTCTTGCGTTTGCCTCCCTCTCCCACCCCCCACTCCTCCGGCTCACCACCTAGACGTCAGGACTTTTAGTATGTTTACTTTCTAAGCACCCTGAACGAGTTTCTGGAGAAATCGCTTAGGCCCCTGCTCACGCACTCTACACCCCCATACGGGCCATTCGTTGATTAGCCTATAGTTCCTCTCCGATTTTTACAGCATTGTTATGATCTTCCGGGGGAGTGCACATGATTTTGGTTTTGTCGATATTTAGCTTAAGGTCCAAAGCCTCGTATGTCCAGGTATATGTCTTAAACATTTCTTGTAATTGTTGTAACGTGTTTGCAACTAGAGCGCAGTCATCAGCGTATTGAAGTTCTGTGATGAATTTTGTACGTGTTTTTGCCCTCAGTCTTTTTATGTTGAACAGACCGCTGTCATATCTGTATCTAATGCCCAATCCTCTCTCCTGCAGTTTGCTGTTCACTATAATGGAGAGCGCTGCCATGAATATGTTGAATAGAAGAGGCGCTAAGACACATCCCTGCCTAACTCCTGTATTAGTCAGGAAGGGATCGCTCAGTGATCCATGATGTGACACTCTTGACTGGTTGTTGTTATGGAGGCTTTTACACACTGTAAGAAATTTGTTGGGTACTAAGAAATTTGTTGGGTACTCCGAACTTTTTATAATTACCCAAAGTGCATCTCTGTTCACAGAGTCGAAGGCTTTTGTTAGATTGATAAATGCAACATAAAGTTTAGACTGCTGCTTTTTTACTTTTTCCTGTAGTTGGCGGATGGAAAATACGGAATCGACGGTGCCACGGTTGGTGCGAAAACCCGTTTGCGATTCTGGAAGGATTCTTTCTATATGTGGGTGAAGGCGATTTGACATAATTTTTGTAAGCATTTTCCCTCCGGTAGCCAATAGTGAAATTCCCCGGTATTTTTATTTGTAAGTGAAAAAGAATCCAAACTATGCATCGTGTTGTGTTGTGGCAATTTCAAATGTTAATAAAATTGCCGAAAATTAGAGCATTACTGGGTGCAATAACATTCTTATTGAATGTTATAGCACTCAACTTTCCCGGATATTTAACTCTCCCGAAGCAACATTTTATAGCTTCATAGTTTCTCACACCGATTTGATCAAAAGCAAAAATGGATTCAAGCAGTTCGACGAAACAAGTGAATAAACCAAAATGCTCGTTACATAATCAAAAAAAGAGGATAAATATAATTTGCATTATTAATGGTATACTTTTTTAATCAACTAGTAAAACCTGTGGTAAAATTATGCCCGCTACTGTAGTGGAGTTCATCTAAAAAGATTTTGTAGCTGGAATAATAAATTATAATACAAGATATCAAAATATTTACTATTTTATTTTTATTTTTAGAATTTATACAAATTATACTTCTTTAACAGTATTGGAATAATTATATAGTATACTCGCTATTTAAACCTCTGCACCGGCGGAGAATGCCCCAAGAGAAAAGCCTCTAGAAAATAGTAAAATATACTAACAATTCACCTATTGACTCACCCTGTAATAAATTCCTTGTAAAAGTACCAAACTTCCCTTGCACAAATCTGCCAAGGGTTCCTTTTTTGGAAAAACTCGGTGAGGAACAGTACGACCAGAGGCACTAACAATAAATTGCTGACTAGTAATGTAGTTGCTGTGATTGTATCTCCTTTAAATTCGTAGGAAAGTAGCGGATCCTTGCAGTAGAATCCAGTTTTTGTGGCGGGAATGTATCCCAGTTCTAGGAAAATGATCACAGCTGTAACTGAAATGAGAAAAAAATTAAATAAGTAAATTTAGATAGATTGTAAAAAATACCATGCACAATCGTTTTTATCTAGATTAATAGCCAGTATAAGCACCATATTCACTACCCGACTTGATAACAGAAAAAGCGAATATTTAAGTAAGTAGCAGGGCCGTGGCCGGGGCATTATACAAAGGGCGTCTACAACAAACATACGGCTACAACTAAAATATTAGAAATATGAATCTAAATAAATAATAACCCATACATCAATAATTAATCAATATTAGATATTATTAATTTCCACATCAAAATATTAGCAATTATCACACCGCATAGAGAAAATATATGAATAAACATTAAAACATCTTATATTAACATCACTATCCGTCACTCTTATCCTAGTATAGTTTAGGAAAATTGGTCTCAAAAAATATTTGGTGGCGAAGTTTTAGGGTAATTTCGATTTCTTATATTCCCTCTTTTTAGGGTGCAAAATCTAGCTTTTGCAAGCTAAATTTAGTGACGAAACAATGCAAAAATGTTAAAAATGTTAAAATATCTAGGGGGATTTTTATGTACTGCTAACTTGAAAACTATCAAATTTTCGTAAATAACCTTTCTATTTAACATTAAATTAAGTAGCTACATAAGATTTTCGATAATTTTTGATTTTTATTTTATTTTTTTTCTGAAGAACTGTTCGGGGTCTAATTGAAAATTGGCGGTTCTTGATTTACCATGAAAAATACATTTTTTGTTCTGTACTGCTAAACCCTTAATTTGTTATCAAAAGCTGGCAAAAACTAAAATATACATATATTGTATGACAGAACTTATTATTTATATCGCATTATTTATTAAGGAAATCAAGAAAAACAATTATTTTCTTAGTCTTTTGTCACTACAACCCTCTTGATTATTTCCAATTAATAAGTGCTCATCAATCCATTTGCTTTTATTTTTTCATTTACTTTAATTTTTTAATTATCAAACTATATACCAAATCTCGTTTTTTTATCTGAAAAATTGAAAAAAATGCGTTTGCACTATGTGCGCATATTTGTAGTGAAACTTCTCCTTACTTCCGTTTGTCTGTCTGTCCCTCTGTCCGTCTGAGGAATCCATTCGGGCACCTCTATCCACGTGCCTAGTTTGGTTCCAATCGACCCATAATTAAGAAAAATCCTGATGATTTCGTCCATTTAGAGTCATCGGTTCGAAACATCGGCGTCGAGAGCGTCATCCTGTAGCCCATTATGCCGAAATCGATCAACATTTTTCTTCAATATCAAATCGTTAGCATGATGAAGATGTAAACGAAACGTCGGCGTCGTATCCAACTTTGCAGGGTGGGACCGGCAGGGTACACCGTCGCACACATACCTTACCATCAGATTTGGTCGTAATCCGACGACATAAACTTTTGACGTTTCTTACGCCAAAACCAGTCAGTTGATTTGATTAATTGATGATGGGGTTTCGTAGTGCACAAAACGTCGTCAAAATATCATGAAAAGATGGGGCACTTAAAGCCCCATCTACATTCCGAGTTTCAGGCCCCTAGCTCACAAGGTTACGACGCTAAATCGAACGACTTTGCGTTATTGAGAATGGGTTTTCATAGTGCGCTAAATGTCGTCAAAATATCATGGAAAAATGGGGCCTCGGATGGCCCCAATCCACATTCAAGCCCCATCTACATTCCGGGTTTCAGCTTAACCTCTGATCGTTACCAATTTTCCTGACGCGTAAAGAAGTTTTACTTCAAAAAGTTATGGGGTGAGCCACTTTTGAGACGCACCCGATATTCTATATCTTATATCCTTAACCCTTAATCCTTGTACCCTCGCCCAAAAGTCAAGAATTTACCCAAAAGTTATGTAAACGCTATGCGGTTGATGGTCTTCCTCACTTTCTTAAAAATATTTATACTCAAAACCAAAACAAACGATCTTCAACAAAATTTTTATTTCGAAAAGTTTTCTTGTAATAATAAAACGCTACTTTTTATTATTACATAAGCTTAATTTTGTATTTGGTGTGTAAAAAAGAGGACTTTTTCAATACGTGACAGAAACGAGGACAGTAGTATAAAATAAACAATATAGATAATAGAATATAAAAAAGAAGAATAAAATTATAGAAAATAAAAAATTATAAAAAACAAACTATAAAAGAAGAATGCAAACCTACAGTAAGATTAGCCATGAAACACATGGCTATACAACTACTCGTAGAGACTAGTGTTTCTGCCTTCCGGCTTCATTAATACGGGAGGAATCAGCAACCATGAACTAGCGATCCTGAAAAAAAAAGGGAAGCAAACGAGGCACTAGGCAAACGAGGCACTTTTGTTTATTAATAAAATATAGATATAGATGTAAAATACTTTAAAAAAATAGACCCATATAAACTTATCTACTCCTAAGGTAAATCTATATTTCAGTATAAAATGCAATAATGCAATTATAAATTGTTAGAGAAACATGTTGCTATCAAAAATTTTATGATCAAGGTGTGCCGTGTGTAATAACGACAGATAAGCAATTCTTTAAGGAAATGATGTTGCTATAGTTACTATAGTCAAACCCAATATAAATGTAGAGCTAATAAAAGCAGTAAAATCATTATATAAACAAACAAAAACTAGAATAAAAGTCGGCAAAAAGTTAACACAGGATTTAATGGAACCAAAGGTCTGAAACAAGGGTGCTGTATTTCCCCAACACTGTTCAAGATATATCTCGAACAAGTTCTCAAAGGTTGGAAGCAAAAATGTAGAAATATGGGAGTACCCATAGGGGATAACATGCTCTACATACTTTGCTTCGCGGACGATCAGGTGATCATAGCACAAGATTACGATGACATAAATTATATGACACGAAAGCTTATAGAAGAATATCAGAAATGGGGAGTCGAGATCAATACTAACAAAACAGAATATATGTGTATCGGAGGAGAACAACAAGATCTAATACTAGAAGAAGGGAAGAAAATTAAGTGCTGCACAAAATACAAATATTTGGGTATGCAAATTACAAATGATGGACTGTTAGATACAGCAATTAAAGAACGAAACCAACTTGGAAGGAATGCTATCACGGTATTGAATGGGATACTGTGGGACAGAAACATAAACAACAAGAACAAAACTCTAATATACAATACCATCATAAAGAATATAACCACGTACAGCTGTGAAGTTTGGCCAATTAAGGAAACAACAAAACGAATGCTGGAAGCTACAGAGATGGATTTTTGGAGAAGATCAGCAGGCAAATCAAGACTCGAGCGAATAACTAATGAACGCATAAGAGAGATTATGGAAGTTAAACATACGATAGTGGACGACAAAAAGAACAGTCAACTCATATGGTACGGGCATGTCCAAAGAATGGCAGAAATAAGAATCCCAAGGCAAATTATAAACTGGAAACCTGCAGGAAGAAGAAAACCGGGTAGACCGAGAAGAAGTTGGTAGGAAGGGATTGACACGTTTATGGAGGAAAGATCTCTCGGAGACGGTGCATGGAGAGACAGACAGGCATGGAGAGATGGCATCGGAAGACGTAGAACGTTTTAAACCGATTAATATATATATATATATATATATATATATATGTGTTACTATAGTCAAAGTCCGGTTCAATATACACTTTTTCATCATAAAATACTTTTAACGCAATTTAGACCTGATTTTGATGGTTTTCTGGATAGTTGGTTCCATTTATGATACCAACTATCCAGTATCCAATGTATGAATGCAACGGTTCTCAAAGTTTTTAATATTTAATTTCTTAATTTTGAGCGTATTAACTTCGTTATTTTTTAATGTAATAGGTCATATTATCTTCATACTTGTCAAGCCAGCCTTAAATAAGTGTTAATGAAGTAACAATATTGTAAACAACAGAATGAGGCCCAGAATATACATTTCAAAAGTCTCTTCAAAGTTCATATTATCGGTTTTATTCGATCGTATACAGACCAAAGTTGAGGTGAGTTTTTCACGATTTTTTCTATGGGTTTCTTGGAAATTACAGGAATTAGAGTGTCAGTGAAATGGAGAAAGGATTGCAGTTTTGTGAGATAATTATATGCGCCTTTCGGATTTTTGAAAAAGTTTATGGCTTACTAGATATTTCGAAAAAAACAAATTTGGGCTATTTTAAAAATGTTTCCTGATTTCATGGTAATCTATTTTAGAAGTTTTTTTCTAAAGTCTGTCTTCGTTTTTTTCTAAAGCCTGTCATTTTTGACATATGACACAAACATTTGCATTTTTTAAATAAAAACCATAGTTGGCTATGACTTCATAAAAAGCGCCATTTTTTTAGATTTTCAAGAATATGAACTATAATATGTTTTTTTTCGAAACATTACTGAAATATAGCCAATCTATATCTTTTTAAAACGTATAAATAACTGATAAGGTGTTCTGGTGTTTCCCAATTTTCCCCACAGAATCTGCATTCGCCGTTGTTTCTCAGCTTCAATCTACTGAGGTGTTCGTTGACAATCCCCATGACAATCCGAAGATTGTTCTTAGTTTAATCAAGTAAAATCCTTAATTTTTCTCGGTCGTAAGTTCCGAGGAACTTTTTCGAGTGTCTTAGACCGCTGGAGGATTCCCATTCCAGGTTACGGATGGAATCCCCCAGGTTCTTTAGTTCCGCTTTAACCTGGTTTCCGCTTGGAAAGCAGAACGGTTTTGGTCCAGTTAGTGGGAGTGTTCGCTCCTTTTCTAGCTAGATCGACAAAATTTACAAGAGAACTTATGAATCAGTGAGGCACACGAAGAGAAGAGCTTCAGTTTAAAAAAATGCATTTTATGTACTCAAAACAATGGACGATTTTTTTGAACATTTGTTAAAATATCTTAAAATGTATGTAGTGATATTTTAAGTTTTAATTTGTTTAATGTAGATTGTGTAAATTGTAAAGAACCGTTTAATAAAATGTTCTATCTTTTTATAAGTTAGTTATCATAATAGATTAAGAATGTCATGCCA